TCTGGGCTTGGTATATGGGCCAGAACGGCCTTTTAGTGCGTGCCGTCAGCAGTTGTGTGATACAGGTCGGTCCGCTATGTTTTCCTTAAGCGCAAAGCTGGACAAAATGAAGCTGTTTGCCCCCGATGTGCGAATGCGGTGTTTTGCAACCCAAGTCCGAGCAATTCTGTTGTATGGCTGCCAGGCGTGGGGCCCTTTTGCGCTGGCAGAGGTCGTGGACAGGGCGGGAAGGCGGCGGGATAAAGCCAACCTTGCGGAGGGCATGTTCGAAGCCTGTTTGAAGGATAGTGCAGTCCAGCTGCAGATTTTATTCATGAGGCAGGTAGTAGGGACGGCACGGCCATCCCACAGGCTGTTGTACGCGGAGCTGGCTGAACTCCCCTTACAATATTACATGGTGAAGCAGATTCTCCGTTTCTGGAACCGCCTTCAAAAGCAAGTGGGATCCATTGCTCATGCAGTTTTACGGCAGGAGATAACCGATGCCCTGACCAACCCGGAATGGGAGGGTTGGGGAATCTCAATGTTACGACTGTTTTCCTTCTTGGAGTGCAACATTTGGAGCGGAATACCGCAAGAAGTCGTGGGGGTAAAGGAGCGTGTTGACTGGTTGTTGAGTAGACCTCTACCAGAAGGAGCGATAATAACGGCACTAAGAGAGCGTTTGATGAGCGGCTGGGACCATACGCGTCTGACTGTCTTGCCAGAGGAGTACCCATCAGATGGGAAGCAACCGGGAGTGCAAATGGCGAAGTATAAGCACTGGATGGGGCTGCCCTTTTCGGGAGCCGCAGCCGTCATGTGGCCAACACATGCTAATGTTTTCATTCCTCGTTTAGCACATCGTAAGCTAATGCAGCTTCGTTTATGTTGCTGGGCTTTGGAGGCGAACAGAGCACGAAGGGGCAAGTACCATGTTCCCAGGGGGCAGCGGTTTTGCCACTGTTGTGGTCCTAATAGCCGAATTGAGGATGAAAAACACGTGTTATTGGAATGCCCAGCCTATAATGATATTCGTGCTCAAGAGGGATTCGACCATTAACAGAGTATGTTGGAGGCCATGCAATGGGAACCCGCACGCCTGGCGAGGATGTTGGAACGTATGTGGGCTCACCGAAACTCAATTACCCCCTTTGGACGCTAGTCTGGGCTGATGTGCGGTGTTTTTTTCCTTTTTCTTCGTGGCTTTTAGGCGTTGTAGTATTGCCCTTGGGCCTTCGGCTCGTATGGGTAGTCTTACAGGTATGGGGTCACGCACCCCCCAACCATGTAACACACACACTCTCTCTAGATAGCGTCACTCCCCTGCCTAGGCACGCGGCGCAACCGCTGCATCGGTGTCTGAAACTATCCAGCAATGAGGCCCCCGCGTATTAGCTGCCCCGAGGGTAATAGCCCGTAGGCCATTGTCGCTCTCGCATGCTGTTGCGCTGTCACAAATGCTTGCGGCGGTGTTTTTTTGATGATCTGCTGTCCACAATTTGAGGCTTCTCCCCACAAATTCTGACAGATTTTCCGAGGCTCTGTGAAAACTAGCTAGCTAGAATGAGAGAGATGCATTTCGACAAGAGTCGAACATGGCTATTGGTGAAGAAATTTCCAAAACCTTTTCATCAACAGCCATTGTTAAGACTACTGAAGCTTTTGAGTGAGTCGTACGGTGAGTAATCACTTCTCTGTATCAGAAAACGCCATCAGGTTTTAGAAAGCATGTCCGAGCGTACGCACGTACCTGCTGGGACTGGAAGGTGCGTGCGATGTGCAACATCGAAGCCAGTCGTCACAGCGCTGCCATGGATGCCGGCAATCATTCTCAGGGAAATGCATAACCTGGAAATCTTATATCATAAAATATCATAAAAAGTGGAAACTACAGGAAGGTGCACAAGTATCTTGGGGATCACGACGCGTATGCCCGTTCGTGCGAGGCGCATCGAACGTTTTGGCGGGTGGTAGAGTTAACTGTATCGCCGACAACAGCGATGCGCTATAAATTCTTAGATTGTGATGTTAGAGATTCGACCTGAGGGCACCTGCGTACACATATGGTATGTGCGCATATGTCGACATGCTGCTGCTGTAAGGACTAGTAATAACCACTTGTCGGTGCGTGCCTCCCACTTCTCGTTATCCAATTATCGATATACTCATTTATCATCTGCATTTAACGGTTGTACCAAGGTCTAGGAAGTACACCGTAATAGGCGCCGGCAAGGATGGCGTCCTCCAATCACATGGGCCAACTGGCGATACACCGTTTCTACGGATTAGCTCTCCTGAGCTTAATGTTCTCCGGTAAGGACAGGCATATTGCAATGTGATGATTAAACCTACTAGGCATCCCGATGGATTTGGCGCGTGTATGTTGCAACATACATGCTCCTTACACTACGTACTACGCTGTGAATAATCAAATGCGTCATATGCTGGCTGAATTTCCTGGCCAATGATGATATGATCACTAGATTGAAAAAGATGCAGTGTTGCACCACGCGTGGACGACTTTTTCACGTATACCTGCCGCGCCTGTTGCAAGTGATAACGTGCGTCACTCTCAAGAGCAAGCTCGCCCGGTCCTGGTGCTTTGCCACCCTGCCTACCTACATGTGCAGCCGTGGCCTCCGGGGAGAATGCGGTCTCTTTGCAGTGGAGCAGTCGGCATCTTCTAACGAAATCTATCGGGGGCGACTTCCCGTTTTGCAAGTAAGTGTTTGTACCGCAGCTTTGGTTGATATCGTTTGGGAGATGCAATGCGAGCGAGGTGTAACAGTTTGTTGTCTCTCCTCGCCGTACAGACTGTCATACACGGGCGCGTACCCGGTGAGTGGTCCAGATAGAGCCCTCCCAACATTTGCCTTTCGTGTTGCATGCCAGGCACCATGACTCCACTGCTTGAACGCGGCTGCCTCCAGCTCACGTAGTTGCTTGTTTGAGGTGGGATCCATCTTTCACTCGCAAGCTCAGCCGTCCTTCTACGTTTGTTGGCGGCTCAAGACCATGTGTTTGCGACCCCTTCGCCTGCGCACCACGCGCTTGTTCGCCTGCTGCAGGTAATGGCCGGCACGAGGCACTGCTTCATGGTTCGACATGTGGGTTGCACCACGAACACGACGTGCTGTGCGGCGTTGCAACGCAACGTGCACAAGATATCCTTTTCCGTTGGTACGTGGACAGCTGTTCACGGGCTGGGGACTGGACGCGGTGGTGCCAGCGTGTTTGTGTAGCCAGGGAGTTGGTGGATGGGCAAGGGCAAGGAAAGGGATAAAACCATGAATCCGCCATCCGCATTCCGCGTGCACACTTGGACGACATGGTTTGGCCGATTCCTACTACGGGCCTGATGCGTGCGCACGTATGCATGTAACTATGCACGAAACGCATGCACGCGCACAGGTGCGAGATGTTTGAAGCCGGTCACGAGTCAGGTGGAGATCAACGGCCGCAAGTGGTCCAGCTGGTCCACCGTGTCCACGGTGGACGGCGAAGCGGGGAACGGATACAAACGGTACGCAAGCGCCCCTATTTCCGGGCTGTAACAGGACAAGGTTCCTTACCTATGGCTAGCGTATGTCCATATGGACCTAGAGCTAGGTAGGTCGGGGAGAATATTCCGCGACGCATTTCTGGACCACTCCGCAAGGGGACCAAGTACCCACGCACTTCCGTCTCCCGTCTTGCAGGTACGGTAATGTTCGGATACGATGTCCGTATCTACGACATGCAATTCAATGCCACCACGTTTCCCGGCACTTCCATCTGCATGACAACCAAGGAGCCCTGCGCCAGCATCCAGCAGCTGTGCGGCACCACGACAGGAACGTGCAAGTGAGTACGGAGAGAGGCTTGCACGGGTCGAGCTCGCCTAGCTGGGGACGGCCCGGTGCTGGTTTGTGCTGGTGCGTGACACCGTTGTGCACCTGCTTACCTGTTTGCTCGCAGGTACGCTGTATTTGACAGCCATAACGCCAGTCGATGCTGCCCAGTCTGTACGGTGGCACCGCTCCCACCACCGGCGCCGCTGTCGCCCGAGCCACCGTCACCGATGGTGCCGCCCCCTCCCCCTCCACCTCCCCCTCCACCTCCCCCGCCCCCTCCCCCTATCTCCCCCGACCCCTCCACCTCCACCTCCCCCACCCCCACCCCCGCCGACACCCATCTGTCGCACCTGCGCTGTCATTACGATTCAGCCCCCATCCAACATCGCCAGGCCTGTCAACACCTTCTTCTCCAGCCCCGAGAACTGCAGTCGGACATCAAGCATCATTATTTCAAACTTCACCGCCGCGCTAGAGGCCGCTGGCGTCTCAATCCGGCAACCGTTTACCTGGAATTGCACCGGAAACTACGAGCCCGGCAAGTCAATTCTGCCGCGGCTCTTCGTGTGCGGCTTATATGATGTTCCAGCCAACCGCACTATCTTGGAGGAGGCCCTGCGCAACGTGACGGCGAGCTGGGTTGCATTTGTAATAGGCACACCCGTGGTTCTCGGACAGAAGGACCGTGCTGAATGCCCTGTGGGTCTTGACGGATACGCTTTCGAAGGCGCGTTGGATTCGGGGATTAACGCTGACCCCCGGTGCCCCTATGGTTCCTCGATAATAAACTGTACCGAACGGTATGCGCCTTTTCCCCCGTCGCCATTGCCACCGCTACCGCCGCCGTCGCCGGTGCCTGTGAAGGTGGGTTGCGCAGCAGCACGGCTAGCCTAGCTCCACTTAACGCGCCTGATGACCATAGGCGTTCCCTATGATTGGCATCGTGATTGAGCGAATATGCATGGCACGCAAGCAGGCCTTAGCACTGCGTCCTTGATTCATGCACAACGCCAAAACCAACCGACAGCTGTCCTCAGAGCATCTTCATGCCGCCACGCCAGAACCCTTTGAGCTCATTTGGTCTTCATACCCGCGCCATGCCCGTGTCTGTTTTGGACTGCAGACGCACAACTGCTCCCAGGCCACCAAAAATGTGCCTTATTACCTCGACAAGATCGAGACATACAACACCACGGACAGGAGCGGGCAACGGCTGGTCGCTATGTGTACAACGATTCAAGAGATGGACTGCAATGACGACTCCAAATGTTGCGGCATGGATGCGGCCAAGGTGAGTGAGTGAGTGAGTGGGTCTGGCAGGACGCGTACTGGTACAGCTACCACCGATAAAGATAGCTTCTCACGAACTGGCTGGAGATGTAGGTCAGTCATAAGCATGATGATCATTGGCGAGGGCGTCGGACCTTCGATTGTAGTACTCCGTCCAATAGTGCCAGCCGTACCAGACGACCTGCTGCCGGATGTCATGCTCCGATACATATCATGAGGAGATGCCAATCAACCTACTGATAGCACGACGCTCCTTATCCCACCCATCCTCACCCTGGCAGGTTGAGGTCATTATGAAGCCCTCATGCCAGGATGCCCTCCGTAGCATCACCGTCAACGGAAAGGAAATTGCTTACAGCCGAAGCTTCTACACGGGCTTTACAGCGCTCAAGTTTGTGAAGCTGTTGACGTGAGTGGCGGCGGCAGGGGCATTTCAAAGCGTTCGTTGGCCATGCTGGCTCGAAATGGTGGGGTAACCGACCCACCCAACATATAGCCAGCGGGATTCCCGCTCCGTATCGTATCGTTGACAAAGTACTGCAGCAGCAGGCGGTAATGTGCTCAGCTTGCTAAGGGTGGGTGTTTGGGGCCGCCAACCCTAGCTACCTCGGTACTTGTGGCGAGCAGAAGTTTGAGCCGTAGTCGCGATCCGTGGTTGTGGCAGCTGCCATAATGGTTAGGAGTGTGTGCCGGTCGTTCCGATGGTTGGACCCTTGGCACTGCTTTAGCTCTGCCATCGTGCATGGTCACAGACAGGCAGCCGAGGGCCCGTCAGCTTGCCCGCCAGCAAGATCAGCGTAGCATTGCTAACACCGCTGACGTGCGTTCAACCCGCGCTCGTTCTTTTCCTACTGCCTTCCTCGTTCCCTAGCCAGCTAACTCCGCCGCCTGCCCTTCCGATGTCCCTCCCGCATGCGGCCCCTGTCGTCACGCAGCTTGGGCGACCCCACAGCCATGCGACTTTGCTGGTAAGAGCTGATGGCCTTCAACGCCATAGCTTGTCCGCAGCTGATATAAATAACGCCATAGCTTGTCCGCAGCTGATATAAATAACGCTGCACGCTCTGAGCGCATAAAACGTAGCAGATATCGTGCAGCTGACTCAGTGGTCCTCCGAGTCGGGTGTTGGTGCGCATGCACACCAAGGCCGGTACACATGCGGGCATGTGTTTGCACGCGTGGGACGGGCAATATGCGTGTGGCGTTATCTGAGGTCGCAACTGAAAGTAGTGTATCTTGCTTGCGTATCGAGCTGCGCCCTGCTGTCTTGTCGCGTCCTGCGCCCTCCACCCGCTACCTGCAACAGGTACGCCTCGCCTGGACCATGCGCTAGCCCTGGGGGCTTCTGCTACAACAATCGGTGCCAGGTGGGTGGGTGGGTGGGTCGGAAGGTATGCTCTGGGTGGAACGGCGTTGGCACAGACATGTTGACATCACCTGTTAATACTGGAAGGCATCCTTGCTGTATTCCGACGCTGGACGCTACAAGGTGCCGGGTTCTCAGCCTGCTGGACTGTGTGTGTATGCTTGTTACACTCCGGTTGCGTCACCCAGAGATTAATTAGTCCATACCAGAGGCCTAAGAGCCACAAGGTTATGCCATGTGTGAACGAGACCGCATGTTAGCGATAGTAGAGATGATAGACTTCGCAACTACTGTTCAAGGCGATGGCTAGGTCACACACTAAAGTGCTGTGTCGGCTCATGGCTGGGCTAACTGAGGCAGGTGTAACTTAGGCACGGCACCAGCCAGTTGTTGAATTCGCACGCACGTCCTGCCATGTTTCCGTCCGGGAATAATGAAGTGATGGATGTGTACCGGCATGCAGCCGCAAACTCAGGAACCCCCGATCCTCGTGCATGCCCTCCAAACCTAATATGACCCTATACATGTATGTTGCTACCCACTGATGGCGCGCAGGCAAGCATCTTCTCATCGGACAACAAGTGCTGTCCTACCTACATGCTCTAGACATGTAGACACGGTTTCCACCAGAGGACTAGGGCCTGCTGGTTCCGACAGCCATGCCTGCATCGTTTCGCAGCCCCACCCCCTTCATATATTCATGAAACGAATCAAGCAAGTAATGTTTTATGTAAATTCATGGCAGTACGGCCACAACATTTTGTGTGCCAGTAGGGCAGCAGGCTTGGTTAGGCACGTTATTGCGTTAGGTAGGTACGTGTTATTGCGCAGGCATTGTGTTAGGCAGGTATTGCAGCAGGGTTACAGGTTACAGGCAGGATGTAGGATGGGTACATACGGTGCAGGTCATTAGGTCACATATCGCATTGTAGTCGTCAGGCGGCATTTGTGTCTCGGCAGGTTATTAGGTAGCACAGGTGAACTTCCCGCTTGGCAGTAGTCGGGAGTGCAAGCCCCTGGCTCCGTCGGCCCATGCAAACCACGGAATTCCAAAAGTGGGCCGCAGGTGTTGCTTGCATGTTGGATAGATTCGTAAATACCTAGGTTTGCATGTTTTGTTGTTGCATGTTTGTTCAGTTGGTTGTTTGGTTGTTTGGTTGGATGGTTGGTTAACCAGGTTATCATTTCCCCCTGGATCTTGATCCTTGAGGTGCAGCGGGTCCTGTCATGTTCAGGAGCTAAACTCGCATGATAGGTGGTGAGACACACAAGCAACAGTAGCTGCTTTTTCTTTTTTGGGGGAAAGTACACGCAGTTGGTTGTTGCAACACAAGGTGTCGCCGACCTGTTCGAGTACTTGAAATCTGTGGTTATGTTGGGTGGCTACGGGTGGCTGTGTGGGCAAACTATTTGCCGTTTCTCGGCCGCACGAGGGTTATTGGGTCAGGGGCACGCGAACCTACCGTCGGCCCCCTCCGACGTAGCAGCAGTTGTAAGTCGTGACGATCAGCCTGATCGATCAATCCTACTGACCTCCCTGGATGCATACATTCATATTCGCATGTGATGCAATCAGGATATCACAACATTTCAGACGCTGCCCCCACCCAAACGCCGTATAGGTAGGTAGGAAGACCGGCCAAGGCCAGAAGAGCCCACCATGACGAGCGCCGCACGACGACGTGGACAGCTGAATTCCACCCGAGACAATTCCCTGTGCGGAAGCATGTCGGCCTGGCCCCACGCATGCTTTGCATAGGGAAAACCTGCCGAGACCACGGCTTCAGCGGTTCAAGGGAGTCCCAGTAATCCCCAACGCGGTCGACCACCCTGACAGTGATTGCTCCTCAATACTGGATATGGATAAACAGCAGGAACAGTAAATAACAGCCGTCGAGTCCACGTCGCATCAGCTGCACAGCAGCGATGTTGGTCACTGGGCTGCCGCCAATTGAAGGTAAATTACAATGCAATGAGCCATTATCCATTTGTTTCTGACTCCTTGCTTATAATGAGTTCTAGCGAGACCTCTTCGACTGATTAAACTGATATTCAAGGAGCCTTTGACTTCTTGCAAGTAATTAGTTACAGCGAGGTCAATCAATCTTCAGTCGTACCTTTCACGATCCGTGCTCAGTGACCACGTTTAGTATAGATAGAGATTCGGAAGGGCAGAAAGATCTTTAATGCGAGAGCCTATGGGCCTGGGGAGGGGGGCTGGTTTTTTCAGGTCCTTGACAGGCTCGCGATGATTGGCAGGGGGCAGGCGGGCCATTCGGAACCATTCCTCTCACATACATGATGCCACTCACCGATATGTCGTACGTGTACTGCCTTTTACAGGCCGCCCACACGTTGGATCTGTCTCGTAATGGTGGATGATGATTTGGAGTGGAGCTTTGGCCACGTACGGGCGCAATTCGGTGGCCCCAACTGCAGGTGTCCAATCGCCTTTAGTCGTTGCCTGCGACGCACAGGGTTCTAGTTCTAGTTCTAGTTCTAGTTTCCGAGGAGGCGGCTGGAAGAGTCAGATCGTCAGACCGCGCCGCCTACTCCTTTGATGCTCCACTAACAGCAGCTATCTCGACAATGACGTCACAGCTGAGCCAGCGGCAGAGCTAACTGCTTAGGCAACTTCAACTGCCGCATCTGTTCGATATAGAAAGTGGCGGGGAACGGTTAATCCGCGCCCGCCAATACCTCACAGTTACGTTTTTTACGCCTAAGCCTAAATGTAAAAACATCAGTGATAAATCATTTCTCTTTAATTGAAGTTCGAGTCTCTTTGCATTTATAAAGATTTCGAATCCTGAAGGGCATTTATTTCTAACGGACGCAAGAGGGGGTTACGCTAAAAGTCACTTAGTAGCAACTGTCAATTGGCATTGTTGTCATGGGGCCATTCTGCGAGCCGTAGAGCTATGCGCGCGTTGTGTAGCCGCGTTAGGCGAACTTCTTCATCTGAAACCCTTTCACTGTCTGACATTAAACCGTTAGCTGTGTACACATTGTGAACTTACCCTATATTGTGTCGAGTATCTTCTTCTATACGCCACCAACCGTTTCTATCGATACTTGTCCTGCAGCAGGTGTCGTATGAGGTTACATTTGGTCCATAAAAAAGGTAACTTTCATAAATTATTAATCACCATTATCCTAAGGACTCTGCGCCATGGATAAGTACGCATGCCTGCTCTCCTTTGTGGTGCTGCTGTTATCTTTCGGCCACAGCACTAGGGCAGAGCCGAGGTCGCCGACAGGGTCGTGGCCGAATGCTCCTTTTGGCTCAATCGTAGCTGCGGCTCGGCTCTTACCAGTGGATAAGGCACGTACAGCCAGGTTCTATTCGGGTGCCGTTAGGTTGCGTCCTTGTTGTCGCGGAACGGACTCAGCTCCACACTCTCGCATCAGAGGTCTATTTTCCTCGCTATAACGCTCCTAATCCCATGTTCATAAGTACTCCTGCTCCTCATAAACCTGATATCACTTACATTTCCGGCCCGCTTCCTGCTGCCTGGTCTGTTTCACTGCTATGCCCCGTAACTGCCGGATACAGAGCTTGGTGGTCCACGGATCCGCGGCCGTCGTCTGGCCTCGTGAACGGGACGGACCCGGGTATGTCACTATCAACATGACTGGCACGCTGAACCAGATGACGATGGCACACATCCACTTGGTAAGTGTGACCCACCACGCGGGGTCCTTGTATCCTCCCCCTGTGGTCGGTAGGTAGGTGTGGCTTCGCACGTTCGTTGTCGGGATGAAGCGGCGCTCCATGTGCTGGCTAGGTAGGATCATGCATCGCTAGAGTTGAGGTGGGTAGGTAGGTACGCAGGTAGGTAAGCAGGTAGGTGGTTGCGTCCGTGTTCCGACCAAGCGCGGTCAAGGACCTTGACGAACTCCTGGCCTGTGGCTTCACCGGCCCGGGGTCCGTTTATTACATTCGCCTCGGGCTCAGGTCTTAGGTCTGTAGTGAGTGACTACCCACGCACACGAGTTGACCAGCTGTGTCATTGAGACAGGACTGGGCATAGTAACAACGGGAAGCGAAAAGAAAGGAAACACTTCTTCTGATGCGGACGGTGATGATGCTCAGCCCTGCGGGGATGAACATAATCAGGCCCAATCTGCTCAACCTATCAACTAACTAACTAACTGCAACCACCTATCTATTTACCATTGCCCACCCACGAAAGAACATGAGCACCATAACCCGCGGTAACCCTCCCCAGTCATTGTCCAGAGAGGCCGATTGGCCACAAGCATCGCCTGCTTGGTGTATTGCTGTTATCACCGCTACCCCGGCTGCACATGACTGCATGCGCACACACACACACACTCACAAACACACTCACAAACACACTCACACACACACTCACACACACACTCACACACACACACTCACACACACGCACACACAAACACACACAAACACACACAAACATACATACACACACAGACACACACACAGCGCACATGCACCGTAACCGCGAAGCAGGTAACATATCAATACCCTTTAACGGGCGGCCCCCGGCCACTCCCCGCCACTGCGCTATTCAGCTGCCGTCCTCCCACCCACCCCACCCCACCCCACCCCGCACCATCCCAACAGAACGCCACCGGCAAACCCATTCGTCTGGATCTGCTGCCCGTACTCAACGGCACCAGGCCCATGCCGCTCAACCCGCCTCTGAGCTTCCGCGGCATCGTCAGCTTCACTGCGCCGCTCACCTATACGCGTGCGGCGGCTTGGGACCCCAACAACAGCGGCATGGGCTTCCTCGATGCGCTGCAGCAGGGCCTGCTGTACGTGAATGTGCACTCTGTAGGTTTCCCAGCTGGGGCAGTGCAGGGCAAGCTGGTGTGCAAGGACCCCTGCATGTTCCCCCTGTGTAGCGGCTCCTCTGGCCACCCTTGCTAGTAGCTCATAATGCGAAACGTTAGGGTTTCGTGCATTGTTGAGCCATGAAATGCGGTATATGGATTTAATCATGGCTAATGCAGCTTTGTTTGCAGCGTGCTCCTGTCCTGCAGTATGTGGCATTCCAGTTCCTCAATCCACGCCCTGTGTGTTTATTCGCTGCTTTCGTAGCACGCATGCGGATTGTAGGAAGCGACTGGTTGTAGGGCCAACAGCAGCAGGGCCCTCAGTTGGGAAGGAGAAATGCAGGCACGTTCCAGTACAGTGAGGATGAATATAGCAGCCATGCTGGCTGTACCGGCTTGCATCGCCGGACGCTGGCTTGCGGTAGCTATCCACGGTGGAAGGAAAAGATTATTTGTAGTGTACACAGCTCGTGTCGTGCGCAACAGAAGTTATGCAGTTATAAGCCTGTGGTGACACTAGCTACATGTTATTGCGATTTACGTGTGTGTGGTAATATTATTGTTGCACCATTTGAAGCAATCTCTGCTAAACTATGTTGCGTGCGGAGACATGTGCACGAGAGTAAGGAGATTTCTGGTTCTGGTATACTTAAGACTTGGGGAAGATCGCGATCGCACGCCCCTTTTGTCCAAGTTTAGTATGTTGTGGTGAGGGCGCTCCATGCCTGCGCCAGCCAGCTCTCCTCCATCCCCGTGGCTCTGGAAAACTGCAAACTGTAATGTTTGTCCGTATATGGGGATATTGCTCCATGCAGCTGCCAAAACTCTTGCTGCACGTCCTATGTACACCTTGAAACTCTTTAGTGAGATTTGTTAACGGCCGATAAGCCGACCGAACCCCCGTACTTCCGAGCGATTTCTCTTCTCACGGAGGCGGATCGGTGATCCTCAATTCGAGGAATGACGAACAGTTACGTGCACGGACCGGTAGCACAGCGGGGTGAGGAGGAAATGGTTCCCTCCTTTCCAAGCGGCCGACCATCCGAGATGACACCATGGGCTGAAAGCGCTCCATAAAACAAGTTTTAAAGTTCATTACCAGCAACTCCGCACCTGTTCTGGGCTTGCATGTTTTGCATGTTTCCCGAGGGTCTGGAGGGCCCGGGTCCACGTCTGTCTCAAATCGATCATCTCCATTGTTGGCGCTTGCATTTCTGCTTGGGCGCTTGCATGTCTTCAGGCATTTGCACAATTCACACACAGCCGGTGCGAGGGAGACCATTTCCCTTGAATAATGCATAAGAGCAGTCCGTCTGCAATGCACGCTGGTCTGTGATAAGGTCTTTTTCTTGCAGCAGTGTGCTGCATGTCTGCACAATCCGGCCACAATCCATGCTTTTCAGTAGCCCTCGTAGGGGACAGTAACTTATAAGGAACTGCACTGAAGAAGAAGAAGAAGAAGAAGAAGAGTCCTGCATCAAAACACCTTCGCCGTGTCAATAGTTTGTTACGTAGGCCTATGTTACAAGTTACAAGTTTGGCAGAAGTGCGGGGCTGTCCGGGGGGCCATGGACGGTAGTGCAGTTACGTGGTGGACCATCCTCCTCCTCCCTCGTCCGCTTGAGCACGAAGCGCCTTAGAGCAACGTGCCGGGTCTCCCAGACTTCCGTGAGGAACCTGGCTAGTGCACCAGGGGTGGGGCCTCGGTCATGATCATCGTGCGCATGTTGCGCCCTTGAAACGCGAGGTCACGTTCGTATTTAACCCGTGTACTAGTGTACGCCGGGCATTCCATTGCATTTCGTCTTCAACCGCCCCGCAGTCACAAAGCCTGCAGGTGCGCGCTGTGCGGTCACGGCCGTTACGTCGGTTAATCTCTAACTCCCAACAGCCTAACCGGAAACGCATACCGTACCGCTATGGCCGATTGGTGACACCGGATTGGTGAAAATCACCAATCCAGTAGCAAAGGATAATCCGGGCTGGGATTGAGCGGCGGCCATCACCAATCCCTGTACGTTTTGGATCCAGGCTAGACAAACTGTGCATGAGTTTAAGGGTCACTTTGCTGCGCGCGCGCGCGATGCTGTATGCGACGGCGTGCATCTAGAAACGTTTACATGCGACTGCAGATTGGTTGATGTGGGCCTGGGGCGCCTCGGAGGGCCCACAGTGAACGGGGGGCAGTCCGGTTGGCGGCTTTCACCAATTCGGTGGCAATGGGAAAAAGTGGACGGGGTAACACCAAACCGTATCACCAATTCCGGTGTTGGAAAGATTAATTCTAGAAGCGTTTTTTACTTTCACCAATCCAGAAATCACCAATCGGCCATAGCGGTACGGTAAGCATTTTGATGCAAACGTTGGGGCGTGGCGATTTCAGCGTGGGCCAGCCTATTATGCCGTGTGCCCCTAAGCGGGGGTGCCCCCATCCAGTTCAGATAGCGACATGCCTTGACACCGGTACTTCCACTTGGGAAGGTGCGTGGATCACCTAGGGTATCCGGGCACTCCCACCGGGTGTCGAGCCGCCTTGCGAACTCTTTAAGTATGCTTCCCACTGGCAACCTAACGGTGGCGTAATGCGCTATGTATCTCTTTCCGTTACGCAGTTTGCCATGGTGTGCCGCAGGCCTTCTGATGGTTGCCGTTTACTGCATCATATATATCATCAGCGTTCAATTATTTATAACATGTCGAAGCATTGACCTACTTCTTACCTCCAGCACAGACCCTTCCCAGTTCGTCAACTGCGGAATGTGGACCGATTCCCGACACGCCGATTGTTCTATTTGCTTATTTGTTGCCCATTGTGGTGCTTCGCCGTGGTAGGGATAGGATAGGGTAGGATATTACAAGCTTCAGCGAGCTCGTACGGCTTAAACAAACCCCGAGGCTCATGAGCCGCTTCAGTCGCACAACAGAAGAAAGAGAAAACGATAAATACTAGCTCATGCTTCTCAATTGCCTGTGGTGGTCAGTTGTTACTGTAGCTCCTATTCGTATTGTTCGTATTGAATGCTGCATAGCTCGCATGCTGCCGAGCCCAAGACATAGTTGTTAAAAACTCGTGCAATGCAAGAGTAGATGATTATGCATAATCAGGTGATTCACGGATAGATGCTCAGGGCGACCCTGGCTGGCGTAGAAACTGAAATCGGCTTCCTTGGTTACTGTCACAGAGTACCCTTTTAGAAATTGAAGTTACAAGCACTCGTGCAGGACTTGCTAGGAAATAAGTACCTTGGCTTTCCCATCGAAAGCTACGAATGGTTACACGGTACCGGGCGGTGTGTCGATTATCAAGTAATCCCAAACAATCGCCCGCTGTTCCACAGACCTGCTAAGTTGCATGAGCGGAATGCTTTAGGAGCCTCAAACGCCTCATCAGTAACTTGGGTAGCTCGGAGATTTGCACGCTGTACGGTATCTGTACTGAGACGACTTGTAAGTTATAAGAATACCTGCCGCCTTTTAAGCCTAATTGATTTTCCTTATTTCACTTACAGGTCAGCAGTTGAAGATAAGTTATGATGAAAATCCACGCGTTTGTGCTTACCCTTGTGGTGCTCGTATTGGCTGTTGGCGTTGCAAAAGCAGATACCAAATGGCCAAATGCCCCTTATGGTTCAATTGTGGCTGTGGCGAATCTCTCTCCTGTAGACAAGGTAAGACCTGCCTGGAAGCTGCCATTACGTGACTATGCCAAGGCGATGGTGCACTTTGTGCGTTAGTAGAGCATAAAGGCTAACATGTTCCATTTGTAGCAATAATGTATTATAAAGGGTCACTTTCGGTAAAGCTGGGTTCATGAAGACCCTTTTCCCTGCATTCCCCATGACAGAGCTTGATAGTCCGGGGATCCGTGGCCATGGTCTGGCCTCGGCCCGGTCAGGGACCTGCTAACGTCACGGTCAATATGACCGGGGCCCTGAGCCAGATGACGATGGCGCACATTCACTTGGTAGGTTGGTGTTTGGTAGGGACTACGCAACTACCCCTACCTTAGTTGCGCACGCGAGGTGTGTCCGGGCTCCAATGGGCCTCACGCTTCCCCTGGGAGATCTTCACGCTCTCTCTCCTCTTCAATCCATTCTTTCCGCTAGCTATGCGTGGCTTTAATCATTCCGATGTTCGGACCTCGCTCATCCCCAACGGACGGAACTGATCCTGCACCGACGTCCCTGTCTGCCAATTCCAGGTTTGGCACATTGCCAGGCATTGCCGTCAATTTGGCCTTGGCCTTGCTCCCCATCCTATGCGTCTGACTCAGCCACGACTCGGTCTATTGCCTCATTTAATCCTCAATCCTTTCATCTACACCTCTATGCAATGCAGTAATAGTATTATCCATGTAAGGTTGTGGCTACCTCACCCTCGCACACCTCTCAACATTTGCAACCTCCTCCACGCATCCCGATGCGTTTCTTTTACACGCAAGCTCCAACCGCTGGCTAACCCCTAACCCGCCACCTGCACCCAGTCCCCGACTGGCCACTCCCCGCCACTGCGCTATTCAGCTCCCACCCACCCCCACCCACCCCACCCCACCCTCCTGCCCCACCCTCCTACCCATCCCAACAGAACGCCACCGGCAAACCCATTCGTCTGGATCTGCTGCCCGTACTCAACGGCACCAGGCCCATGCCGCTCAACCCGCCTCTGAGCTTCCGCGGCATCATCAGCTTCACTGCGCCGCTCACCACGGAGCGAGTCGCGGCTTGGGACCCCGACAACAACCACATGAACTTCATCGAGGCGCTGCAGCAGGGCCTGCTGTACGTGAATGTGCACTCCGTAGGTTTCCCAGCTGGGGCACTGCAGGGCAAGCTGCTGTGCAAGGACCCCTGCATGTTCTCCATTGGCGGTGGCGTCGTGAACCCAGGCGGTCATTGAGGTGGATTGGAAGGGGGATCACCGCTTCTTTCCGCAAGACAAGAGAGGCCTCTCACGCCTCCCAAGGAGGGAGGAGGCTGCTTTTCTGCTGCAAAGGGGAGATATGGGGCGGCTCAGTCGATTGGGTTGCTACCACTACGCCCCTTATTGGATGAATAAGGTCCCAGGCCATGCACTGGGTCGTGCCGTGTAGCCGGACGGCTTCCCAGGACTGGATGGGGACCGCCACCCTAAGTCTTTTGTGTGGTGGGCTGTGGGCTGCTGGTTTAGCGGCGATGGCCACGAAATGGGTGGAGGCGCATGGGGCCCGGTGCGGGTGGGAGCTTTATCCCCCATGGTCACAGCGCAAGGTGATAAGTATGGAGGTATCGGTGATGATTTAATACCATGCATACATGTATTCGATATTTAAGTCTCGCTCGTAGCCCCACCACATCACGTTAATTCACTCGAATCATGGAGCACAGCGGACACACTCATCCAGCAGTGGGGGCAGGTCAACTTGCCTGGCGGGCGGGCGGGGACTGGATGGTGGCTCTGGAGCAAACCATGAGCAAGGTCAACACCAAGACGGACACTGGCAAGCAGGCCATGATACCAGGAGCTTAATTAGGCAACCTGGCGGCTCCACCCTCGTGATCCATATCTGAATGAATGGCGATAGGTGTCCTTTCCTCATGACGACCTGTTTATCGTTGGTTGAAGAATTGAAACAGGCCCTTATCTGGGCACGGAGGTGGTGAATTATTATTAGTCTTGTGGGGCGACAGAGCGCCGGTGATGATAGATAACTTTTGCACTGATGTGAAATTCATTAGATTTCTACGACAGGAAGCTTTGGAATTAAAAAATGTTAATAGTTCGAAGTGAAGATACCCCTGCTTTTGGCACCCCCGTGTTAAACTCAGGAGCCTTCAGGGTCTAGGATAATGTCCTTAATGGTGTTGCACCTCTCCTTTTTTAGAGGGGAGCTGTCGAGGCCGACGAACCCTTCTGAACCTGCCAAGGGATTTTGCTTCTGTGATGAATCGTGGACTGATGAACTGCAATGGGCTTCCCGTGAAAAGTGCCTGAGTTCCTTTGTATTGTCCTTTTCTGGCGTTGAAAACATACCGTGCTTCGCAGTTCAAGGAAGCATGTTTCAGCCGGGCTAGAGTCTAAAAGTGTTGTGGCTTTTTGCCACCAACGCATCGCCATACAAATGCTTTGAGCGCTAGCCTGGGCTGATAGTGCGGTGTTTCCTTTTCTCCGTGGCTTCTAAGGCGTTTAGGTATTGCCCTTGGGCATTCGGCTCGTATGGGGTAGTTCTACAGGTATGGGATCACGCATCCCCAACCATGTAATACACACAGACACAAATGCTCCCGAAACAGCTACGGAAGCAGCGGGACTCTGGTAATACCTCTGTCGATGCCGACCGTTCAGATAGTCCACTAGTACTCTCACACGTGCATAGACACACGTTCTCCTTTCGGGCCCCTAGCTTGTACCGTTTGCTTCAGCATTGCCTTGCCTAAAAACTCAGATATCAATGTGTATGTGCCCAGGATACGCACTGCTAACCCAGCGTCTGCATCCCCACCCCACCCCACCACACACACACATACACCACACACGCACACACCCCTACGCGCTCGGGGCTTAATCTAATAATAACTCATTTTGCTGTCAGAAGAAACTGCAGCTGCAATAACCTTGGCGACGGCGCTTGCGGGCTCCGTTTCATGTCACACCCCCGTTGCTGTACATACCACGCAGATGGTGTACGACTTGTTCAACGGTACCGGCCTCCTTGGCAAAGCTATTACCGTCGGTGGAAATGTTCTCTCCGTCACTGGCGCTTGTCTGGCCCTCGTATGGGTTTGCCACACCTTTGACCGGTGAGGCAACTCCAGCAGGTGTAACACACACATCTAGTGTTTTAATTACATACGCCTCACTGCAAACTATAGCTACTAATCATATTGTGATGTGCCTAAGGAATTGTTGATTGACAGTCCATGTCTCATGGTACTCCCATCGTGTTCAAGGCATTGCAACCGAAGGACACTTTTACAAACCATCAATCACTTCATCACATTACAACCCATCACTCCTTCCATTCCATACGGTAGATCAGTAATCCATGGTCACACAAAGTGGAAGCATGACCCTTACAACCATCGCGCGAGGTTTACCGGCATATACGGCCAGCTGTCCAAAAGCCACTTTCATCTTACCAGCCCACCATCCGCTCCTTTCCATCTCCCCTTTCCTCCCTTTCCCTCAACTTGAGTTCCGCAAATCCAGAAGTTCGTTCCCTACGACGCACCCTACACCCATTCAAGGTTTTGACCCCTGGACATCCCCTTTTCGGGACGCGCATACGCAATTTCCTCTCTAAGCTCGTCTACATCTCCCCACATTCCTTGATGATGCACGGCAGTCGCGGCCGGTTAGTTTGCTTGTCTGTGAGCACGTTCTCCAGCTTGCGCACCAACAACAGCCCGTCGTCAATGACTCGCCCGAACACCACATGCTTGTTGTCCAGCCACTCGGTCTTGGAGCACGTAATGAAGAACTGAGGGGGGTGTTTTCGTAAATATAAGAGTGGATGTTGAAGGCAACAATCAGTAGTTAAGAGGAGGAAAAGGTAGGGGGATCGCAGCGATTTTTCAGCGAGAAGCGTTAGCGAGGAACTCTGCCTGCTGCTCATCTCTCATCCCTGCCTGCCCTGTGCTGCGATTCAGCAAAAAAGAGCATGCAAGATGTTCCCCTCCGTGCTCCCCTTCGTGGCGTAGGGCGAGGTCGGCTGTGGGGCGAGGTCGCGGGCCGTTAGGCCCCTCGGAGGGCTCTCGGCATGACTCACAGGAAAGCATGTGTTCCATTCGGATATTGTTGCTGTTGTGGCCCGTGTTGGCGACTTAGTTTTGTTTTGTGGAGATAGCGACAGCGTCCCTCCCCACTTCCCTACCAGGCTACCAGATTACCACTACCACTCTACCGACGCACCTGGCAGCCGTTACTGTTGGGCCCGCTGTTCGCCTGTGTGTATGTGTGTGTGTGTGTGTGACCGGGTGCGGTGCGGGCGGGGAGAGGGTGCGGGCGGAGGAGCGGGGTGGACGAGGGCGGCGAGACAACAGACAGGCGGATGGACAGCGAAGACTGGACACCCCGGAGGGGCGGAGGAGGTTCCGCATGTGGGTTATGAAGTGGGCTGCGCATGTGTGTGTGCAATGCGGTCAACCGGCCGCGTGTATGTGTATGTGTGCGATGGCTTCCACCTATGGCCACCAGCTGCCGGGAACGAGGCGCAAAGTAGTCAAAGATACAAAAAAACAATTCAACGCCGTTGGTTTGACATCAGTCGAGGATGGATGCTTTGCGGGGCCTCAGCCTACATACAGAGATTGCGGGGCGGGGTTCGCTTCCTTCAGTCCTGCCTTAATCCCATCACTCTGCCGGAGGCATCGGAAAAAAGAGAAGATTTCTAGGCGTCTGCCCTGGCCGCCGTCACAACCAGGGAGACACGTTTGCGCGCACCATCGACAGCAGCCCTGGCCCGGTGTGCTTCGCGATGAAGTTCTCGTCCGGGAAGCGGCTGCCGTAGATGCTGACACAGCCCGTGCCGTCACCCTACGGTCCAGGCGGCGCGGGGGCCGTAATTACGCTAAACAATACAATAAAGAGTGGAGGCGGCAACCGGGGGCAAGAATGTGAACCGGAGGAAGGGGATCGGCGAAGGGGGCAGGGGTTCGCAATGCGGCAGTCTCTTAGGCAGCGGCAAGGCTGTAAGGAGAGTTCAACTTCAGGAGGAAAATCCCGGGAGATGAAGGAGGTTGGCTGCCGAGGTGGCGTTGGATGAGCAGAGGGCTGCTTAATGAGGGCTGCTTAATCGCAGCCCACCGCGCACCTTGATGAAATCGCCTCCTTGGATCATAAAGTCCTGGAGATTGGGGGACAGGAGGGGTGAGCGCCGGACGTAGCGGCGCGGCAAATGATGTCAAGTGCACTGGGAAACTCAGTCAAACACCAGGGCTGTACGGTGCGGCTCCGTAACCGAACCCAACTTTCTCGCACCTTGATTACACGATGAAATGTGCAGTTTTTATACCCGACTGGTAGTCCGTTTTTCCTGTGTACGCATCCCTGCGTCAGCGGCTGATCCCAGGATTCCTGAGATGGCAAACTTGGCGCTCTTACCGATATTCCCCCGTGCATAGCTGCCGAAAGTTCTCAGCAGTCTTCGGGCAGATGTCAGCAAACAACTCCATTTTAATCCGACCCGCAGGTTGCTCGCCAATATTGACATCTGCGCCGTTCAAGCAACTAACTCATAAAGATTGAGGTGCATAAAGGAACCGTTAGGCTAAGCTTTATCAGATTAAAATACACACCGAAAAATACAACTGGATTCTCTGCTCGTTGTGGTCGTTGGTGCCAAAGCTCAGTTGTCCCGGTTGCCATTTGTGATGTCGCGAGCTTAGCTGTCTGTTGACTTGTCACGCAACATCGCTTTCATGCGAGCCTATCAAGAAAGACTGTACGTATAAAGTGCCGACGGCGACGATTCTAGTCGCGGTGCCGTTCATAACTCGTACTTAACTCGTACTAATGAAGGCGGCAACCGCAAAGGGGCCGCAAGCCTGGCGCGCCCTTGGCTTTGACTGCGGTCCAGTGCAGCGCGTGTATACTTTGTCCAGGCCGTCCGGTTTGCCTCAACTGCCGAGGGACACGCCGCGACAGGACCGCCGGCCTATGTACAGGCTTTTAGATTGCATCGCCGTTCAGCCAGCATCAGCATCAGTAATACCTGCGGCGGTCAATTCACAGCGCGTGTCACAGAGCCAATATTCTACCAATCCAAACTTGTGGGCACACACCAGGCGCCGTGCACGCCAAGCAAATCCATGCAAGGATAGCGCCTTGCTACGGCGTCTAGCGGACCAAGGTGCGTCCCCCCACCCACCTCCGTTGCAACGTGCAAGCCGTTCTCCAACCCCATGCACATACCTGCATGTGCGGGTGTCACTCGCCGCTACAGGAACACAAAGGCCGAAATTGAAGGTCAACCGGCTACATCAATCTACCAAAAACATCTCTGTGCAATCGTGTTACCCGTACCAGCATGTTTCTTGTACATCTCGTGCATCATAACCACCAGCCGATGGTATATTTTCGAAGGAGCTTGCAGCCACAGCCTAACACGCTGAAGACACTGTTCGGACTCAAAACTAACTGCGGCTGTTTTTCGTTTTACTACATAGTTTACTGCGTTACCAGGCTTCATGCAGCCCGCTAACCACATCTTTTTCTCTCACTTTCCGTTATCGTCAGTCGAAAGCAGTGGCAGTCGAAGCGCAACCCAACCTCAGTAAAACCCCCCATTCGTTGCAGTAGACTCCCACGTCACTGAATTTGGTTGCAGGCTAAGTCCCTAGGTTAGGTAGAAGGTACACCAATCCACTCCTGTTAACCCAGCTGACTGCAGGACACCAACAGGACAGCAAAAGACGTTTCTTTTCCCCCCTCCCCAAATACCCACACGCTATCACTCTCCTCCATCGCTCTCCTCCCAGCCTGCCTGCTCCCAGCCGCCCCATCCTGCCCCGCCGCACAGCATCCTTTTCACTTTTCGGCGTTGCGAGCTGTCCCCAGCCCCGGGCGCCCCGACCCCATTTCCCCTCGGCCCTGCGCACTGTCCCACAGGTCTTATGCCTGTTACCACGATCAGGCGTCCAAGCCTCCTCGCGCCAATCTCACATCCTTTGCTTTCCTACCACCAACCCAACCCACCAACCCGCAACGCCTTTTACCAATGTCACCTGCATCATATTTCTTTACTAAATCAGTGCACCAGACACCAGACAGGCATCTGCCTGGCCTTCTTCCTGGCCATTTCAATAACACACCGCCATTTCCCGGACCCTGCCTCCCAACGCGCGCGCATGGGCATCCACACCGCCCCTCACACCGCCCCCTACCCAGCTTCCTCTATGTGCTGCATGGGCCCCTAACACGTCGTGTATGTTTTACTACAACCCCCGATCAACGTATCATACTATCCCGGCCATCACTGCCTAAGAGTCGCATGCTGCCAGCTTGCTGCTGCCGGTGGTGCCGCTGCTGCTAAGAGTGCGAAGACTGCGGTTCTTCATTCGGTTGCCGCTGCTGCTGCCGCTGCTCATCCAACACCTGCCCCGACGGGTGTGACGGCGATGCCGCTGGCGCCATGACGGCAGTCGCGGCCGCCGCCTCTGCAGCCGACAGCGAATGCGATCGCGACAGCGACGACGGCTCCCGGCGTCGCACGTACATGAGGATGTACGCCTGCGCCCGCAGCACCTGATCTTCCGCCACGGGGCGTACTTGCGTGTCGCTCACGTAGTACCATTGCGGGCCACCGCCCGCGGCAGGGTTTGAACGCTTGACGTACGCTACCTGTAAAGCCGAACCACACACACACACGCATACATACATACATACATCACGACGGCGGCAGTTGGGATGCGGGCGGATGTGGGGGTGATGACGGGGGCCCAAGAGGAGCGGAAGTTCAAGACTGGCAGTTGCAACGTAGGTTCAAGAGTATAGCGAGGGGGAAAGCTACGCTACCCTTGTTCCATAGCACGCAGGTACATCAGACGTGGGGCCTAAAACTCAAACCACTAGCGCACGCGGCGCACACATGCACGCTTATACTATTGTTTAGCAGGGCGTGTAGCAGGGCGTGTAGCAGGGCGTGTAGCAGGGCGTGTAGCAGGGCGTGTAGCAGATCGTGTAGCAGGATGCACAGGAGGCATACACCAGTGGCCCCCCCAGAAGCGCCATTGCCTCCGTGTGCACTTGTGTCAAGTATGAGGGGGACCTGCTGCCGCTGCGATCTGCCGTAGCATACAAGCAACACCAACGGCCGGACATAATCCACCCCTGAGGAACGAATTGCGCATTTCTGTGCGGAGCACAACCCCATGCTCGCAGCCCACGCTTCCGGCCTTCAAACAATCCCAAACGGTCATCGTGTATCGTGCGTGGTCCTTACTGGTTTAAACCACCCACATAATGGCCGTAGCGCATCTCCCCGGAATGCTCGACCACGCCCAGCAAGTCGTAGAGGCATGGCTGCTGCGCGGCAGAGCACTGCTGCGCAACAGCTGCCGCCAGAGCTGACCGCGGCTGCGGTTGTGGCTGCGGTTGTGGCTGTGGCTGCTGTGGCTGCTGTAGCCGTTGCTCTGGTGGAGGCCTTTCCGCCTGCTTTGCATACTGCGGCTGCTGTTGGGTCAGGTGACCATCCACATCTCCATCCGCAACCCCGACGCCTGCGTACTGTTCTCGTTCTTGTCCGTGCGCGTGTTCTTGTCGTCGTTGCCCTTGCCACCGCGTGCCCTCCCCCACGGCCACTTGGGTCCCCCACGGCTCACCCGCGGCCAGCAGCTCCCCCTCACCGCCGTTGCAAACAGCGCTACGGCCGGCAAGGGGATGGCATGCAACTGTTGAACCTGCAGCGCCCGAAACGCGGGTGCTGATGGCGGCGACCACCTCCGCCTCCGCAGGCTGCCTGACTGATGTGCCAGAGATGGCAGTTTCGACATCTGAGGTGGAGGCTGTGTAGACGCCCAGGGTTTGAGCTGAGGCAGCAGCAACGGCGCCGTTCTCCTTTGACGATGCGGAAGCTGGTGTCGGAGCAGTCGCCGTCGCTGGCGCTGGCACCATCGGCACCGCTGCCCCGGCGTACCCGTTGTCCCTAAGGAAAGATAAACATGCCGGACTCCTGGACGCCGGCGACAGCGGCGGCTGCGGCTGCGACAGCGCCGCCACCACTGCAGGTGAGGCGGCGGCGGCGGCAGCCGCCGCGGCCGCAGCCGCAACGAATGGCCCGAGGTCCAACGTTGTGTCAAAGGCAACCTACGAGGTGTGTGGCAGGTGGTAAGGGGGGACCGCGCGGAGCTTGGGTTAGGAGGGGAGGGAAATTGATGGACGGCGGTGGCGGCGTAGCACCACCCCATCCGGGCCTCGTCGACCCGGGTGGGAGTTTTTGGCTGTTCCGTGAGCAGGGCCCCCCCCCCTCACTTACATGCTTGTCGATCTTGGTAAGTCGGCCCCGGGAGTCGACGGAGAAGCGCTTGAGGTGAAGTACCAGGACCTCAGGAGGCCGCCGAAGGCAGTACTGCTTAGTCGACTGGCGTTGGAAGCTACTGCCGCTACTGCGGCGCAGGCCGCCGCCGCCACCGCCGCCGCTGCTGCTGCTACGACAACGCAAGCGGCCATTGGGGATGGTAGCAGCGGCAGTAGCGGCGGCGCTGCCGCCACCGGGTGCCGTCGGCGCTACTGCCGACGGTACTGACAACAGCCGGCGGCCGTCGCCCCCGTTATCCCCTTCAAGGATTGCCGCCGCCGGCAACAGCGGGGTGCAGAAAGGCGAGGGCGAGGACGACAACGTACTGCTCGGGATGCGGATGGGTTGTGAGGAGCTTGAGGAGGATGTCGGCCCTGTGGGTCCCGCCGGGGCCCGGGGTGAGCTGCTGTCGATGGCAATGCCGGGAGGTTCCGCCGCCGTCTCATGCCGTACAGCTGGTACGACGTTGTCACTCCTACAACCTGATCCGGAGCCGGCTCCAGATTTGAACTCTGAGGCCACTGACGTATCATGTGGAGAAACGACATGTGGTTGCGGTTGCAGTGGCAGCGGCGGAGGTGGCGGTCCCGGCGCGTCGCCCAAATTATGCAAGTCGTCGACGGAGGCGCCGCCGCAGGCGCCGAGCTCATTTGGAGCCGAACGCTTGACGGCATCGACATCCGTGTCGGCCGCGGCCGCGGGGTTGAAGGAAACGGCGTCTAACACTCTGCAGGCCGGCGGCGCTGGGAGTATGGCGGCGGAAATCATGCTGCTGGCCGCCACTGCGGCGGCGGCGGCGGCACCCCCAATGTCGAAGTCTTGAGCACTCGATGTCGCCGCTGGCGTTGGCATGCTGCGCGTGGGCGATGTCATTGCCGCCGGCAGCGGCCCATCCACAGGCGGAACCGGCGATCGATCCAGTGGCGGCGGCGAAAGCAGGCTTAGAATCGCTGCCGACGGCGATACCAACTCGTACGTCGTCGGCGGCTGGCCTTGCTGGCCACTCAAGGACTCCTCGATCAGATGCACAGTCGCCGACGATGAGGGTGGCGCGAGGTCGTCCATATCAAACATTGTGTCTGCGTCAACAGGTGCTGCTGCGCCGGCGGCGGCGGCGGCGGAGGCGGCGGCTCTGTGGATGCGTCCTAACGCGCAGGCGTCGCCAAGAAGCCCATCTGCATCCGCGGTGGCGGCGCCGCTGCCGCAGCCACCCGCGCCAAGAAGCGGCCCTGGCTTCTGCCCAGCGCCGCCGGATTGCTGGTGTTCATGGTGATGATGATGGTGGTGATGATGATGATGATGTTGATGATGTTGATGATGTTGATGATGGTGGTGGTGGGGAGGATGCAAGGAAGGGTCCAGGTTAACTCCATGCATGTGCAAGAAAGCAACATCAGCTTGGGTGCTTGGCGCCGGGTCTTCCATGCCGCACCCGTCGGGGTCCCGGCTCGGGACATCGCCAGCTGCCCCGGCGACGGCGACGGCGACGGCGACGGCGGCAGCGTCCCCACTTCCGCTGGCCATGTCGGCAGCGGAAGTTACGGTCACGGACGGCGTGGCCACGCGGCCGTCGTCCTCATCCACTCGGTATGAACACGGCACATCCGCACCCTCGATCGCGGCTCTGTTTGCCAAAGCTGACGGCGATGGCAGCGGAGGCGGAGGCGGGGACGGAGGCGTGACAGTGGATACCGCCGCCGCCGCTGCAGCAGCCGCAGCCAGCGACACCGCGCCGCGCTGCGCTACCGGCGGCGGCGGCGGCGGCGACGGTGGGCGCTGTCCGTGCAAGCCGACTGCTTCCTCCCGACGCTCAGATTCCGTATCACTGTCAGCTGGCGACATGTCCGGAGATGTGGAGGCCGACGACTCCAACGACGACGACGAGGATGAAGATGAAGATGAAGATGAGGAGGATCTGTTCGGCGGTGTCAAGGCGCCGGACAGGGCCCGCGCGCCCACATGGGCGAACGCAGGGTGCTCCGCCGGCCGCCGCAACGCGGTGGGGTACTCCCAAGTTTCGTGACCGCCGGTGGCGGCACGACGCCGTACCGTCGGCCCATTTCCCTTCTTGCTGACTGTGATGGGCATCGCCGCCGATGACGCCCGGCTCGTGGACGATGTCCCGTCGGCGTCCCGTGCGACTTTAGCTTCGTCTCCCGCCCTGGAAACGCCATCGTCATTCGCCGCTGGCAGGGTAGTAGTACTCGAAAGGTCGCATGGCGCGCCTAAGCTTGCCCGGTACTTCCCACGCAGCGAGAAGCGCACCTTGCCGCCTCCGCAACTCCCGCCGCTGCAGCTCTGGCCGAACTGGCTGCTCCTACCCTGCTGCTGCTGCTGCTGCTGCTGCTGCTGCAAGGTGGTCGCTTCCGCCAGTTCCAGGCCACCCTCCAGCACGGCCAGCAGGTGCTGAAGGCCTGCAGACAGGAAGCAGGCCACCACCACCACCACCACCATCACCACCACCACCATTACAACAACCATCAAGCACCGCCACAACCACATTGAGCACTGCCAACCTTAAATTACGCTGTGTCCGGGGTCGCGGGAACAGTCATATCGTGGGAGGGCAGGTCAAAAGGCAAACAAACCACAGCAAACATGAAAACTAGAAACTAAAACTAAAAACAAAAGCCCCAAAGAGGCAAACGCATAAAACTACGACTATACATATACATATATATGGCACGGCGACAAGGTAAAATATGTAGGGAATACAGGAAATATCGCAGTTGAGGCCCCAACTACCCAACAGGGACCCAACAGGGACCTAACTGGCGGTTCCCGGTCCCCGGTTCACTCGCCTCCGGGGGCCAGCATCAAATCTGCCACACAGTCCATTACCAGCTGCGCCGCCGCCTGCACCCGCCGACCCTGGTCCCGGGGCGAGTCACCGCAGCGCCAGGCCAGTCCCACATCCAAACGGGCCAGCAGCAGACCCCGATCCGAGAACGGCCCTGGCCCCAGAAGCGCGTCGTCCTCCTGCTGCTGCTGCTGCTGCTGCCGCCGGCGTGGCTGCTGTTGCTGCTGCGGCTGCGGCTGCTCCTGCTGCCGCCGCGGCGACGGCGGCAGGAGCGGTGACGTGCTGCCGCCGCCGCCGCCGCCACCGCCACCGCCGCCGCCACGCGGGCTGCTGCTGCGTGGGGTGCTTCCCAGGATGGTCGACAGCACGGGGCTCATGGGGACGGCGGGGATGGGAGAGGCGCCCAGGGCGGCGGCGGCGGCGGCCGCAGGAGACGAGGATGATTTGGCGGCTGTAGCCGCCGCCGCTGCCAGTAGCGCGGCGGCACGCGTGGAGCCGGCGAAGGGCAGTAGCTGCACGTACATCGTTTCCGTTTCAAAAGGGTCTAATTGGGCCTGTGGGGTTTTGGGGTTGGGTTTGGGGGTAGGGGTGAGAGTAATTTTCTAGCTTGAGATCATGCACTACTACAGGATGGTCCCAGAATATAAGGATAGATATTTTATCCTATTTGAAGTTTATGAGTTAACGGCGGAGTCAGGTGGAAGGTGGGGTTGGAAGTGGAAGTTGAAAAACAAGGGATAAACGCACCATGGGGGGGTGTTTTTACGACCCAAGTCGGGCGATGAAGATTTCCGAGCGGCCGTGAAGCGCTTCAGGCTGATTGATTCATTGAATTAGCAACCGCAGGGCGAAGGGAGAGTTGTTCGGATGGACAAGATAACACCGCCAAAGGAACCCCAAAAGGATTCCAAGCCACACTCCTCCAACTGATAGGATCTCTCAGGCCCGAGCCCCACTCACCCACCCATACACCCACCTGGACAATGAACGATGCACCGTGCGCTTTGGCGGGCCTGTGGGAGTGTGGTGAGGGAGGTCCAGGGAGGGGAACACAGCCGCGCGAGGTCCTCATCTCAAGGCTTTGTCCCGGGATTCTTAATTCCCGGGATTCTCAGACGTCAAACCATGGAGCTGCGCGTGCTAAAAAACGACACCCAATGTGTTGCGCGCCGTATCAGGCGAGGAAACCAGAGCGCCCATATATATGCAAAACAACACCCAAAGCGCACATCACGTCCAAACCTAGCTTTTTTCCTTGTCTTCTACTACGACACGTACGGCTAATCGTAGAACCGACATGTGTAAACACCTCCCGGTGAACCCCGGGGCTTCCGGGGCAGACTGACTGAAGGGTGTCGCGTCGAAAAAAACCCAGCAGGCCACTGTTTGGCCCCCCGTGTGTACTAGCAGAGGCGCAAGTAGTTGCGTGCGACGCATGGGACACACCTACCCGCCCACATCCACCCACCCTGGCTGCGGCAGGTCGGCCAGCCGCAATATATACTACCCCCCATTACCAGCCTCCAGCTCCTACAACTCTCCACCGCGTAACCACCGCTACAAGCCCCAGCGGCCCCAGCCAGCCAGACACACTGCAGAGCAAAGTCCCATGTCCCGTTCGCCGGCCACTGCCCCCAGGCCCTCCCTGGAAAGCCGCCCCTCTCCGCCCCTCTCCACGCTCCCGAGCTGAGCCGCACGTTTTATTCGTTTGACCCTCCAAGCTCCCCACCATCCGGTGCCTATCTTCAAGCCATTCTTCAAGCCAGCCCAGCACCAAGCCCTGCCATCAGGAAGCCCGACGCTCGCATAGGAGCCCGGTTATATATGATGTGTGAAACAGGGGGGTGTATCTTCGTCCGTGGCAGCTACCCTGCGAAACCCTGCCTTCCCCGGTATTTCGGGGCACCCTCATCCAGTCACCCTAGTCAACTTCTCAGTGGATCGCTCAGGTTCCGCACCCACCACCAGCATCCAACGGAATCTGCCGGGTCGACAGCGGCGCAACTCTATTCCTGGTCGGCTCGCAGGTTAACTTTATCCCAGGTCACCACCGTCCATCAACTAGGGGCGCAATACCTTCCACCATCGGAAGGACTTTGACCCTAATGGGTATCGATCCCGGGTATATATGTATGCATGGGCCAGAAGCCATCCACTCTGTAACAACAATATGTTGAGTTCCCTTTGATGGCAGGGCTCTTGGGGCTGGGCTGGGGGGCGGCACGGAGCCAGCAAAAGAGAAACCCCCAAAGGCGGTAAATAAGATGTCGAAAAAGCCCACCTGAAGAACGGCGCGTTGCCCCGCAGCGCCTCCCCCAGGTCCGTCCCCCGCTGCTCCGCACTGCCCGGCACCAGGAACACCTCCGGCGCCCCCGGACTCCAAGAAACCTGCGGCAGGGGCGGGGGAGATAAACACGACGAGATACAAATTATATACACGTGTGGAAGAAGAGGATACTAAAGCAGCAGCACTTTTGCAGTAATTAAATGACTTGCAGCAGTCGCGCTGTAAGTAATGTACGTCCCGACCTTCAATCAATTGAGGTGATCAGCTGCAGGATCCTCGAGGATCAAGGGCAGGGCATCCTGCAAGGATAGGAGAGGTGTCTTTCCCACCCGTGCCGACCCTTCCCACCCCCCCCCCGGCGGACTTGAATGCGCAACGCCCAGGGCAATAAGCACCATGCTAGGGCCCCGGGGCCGTCGCGCCGGGGCTATTTACGAAACATGCACGAAGCAAAAGAGCGACCTGACGGGGGGATGGCGGAGTCACCGCGGCGGTGGATCACCCACCTCCATAACATACAGACACAGACACACAGACGCACAGACATATACACTCAAGAGACACACACGCATACACATACCGACATGTTCCTGTATTGCTGCTCAGATAAATTAAACAGACACACAGACAGACACACACCTGCTTGCGGAGTGTCGGCGTGACACACACACAGACAGACACACACCTGCTTGCGGAGTGTCGGCGTGACACACAGACAGACACACACACCTGCTTGCGGAGTGTCGGCGTAAGCGGCGTGGCCGCCACGCTGCCGGCAACGGAGTGTCCCGCGGAGGCGGAAGCGGCGGCATCCAGCGCCTCTGCTCGCTCGCGAGGGCACTCCCAGGACACACTCTCCACGGCGAAGAAAGCGGCCAGGCAGGCACCGACGTCCAACACCCTAGGAGGCCGAAGCGGCTGCAATGGCAGTGGCGATGATGGCAGGGTCTGCTCCCGCACTGAATCCTCCGCCCCAAACGGCGCCCGTTCCTCTAGCTCTTGCCTAGTCGATTCGGGCAACGACTCTACCGGGTCTACCTGCGACTCGTTCTGTATCCCGGCTTCCATCTCAGCTTGGAGCTGCGCTCCTATCTCAGCGTGAAGTTCGGCTTGAGACCCCGCCTGCAGCTCTGTCTGTCGCCCTGTCTGTATATCCGCCGGCAGGTTCCCGTGCCGTGGGGACTCAGCGGGCAGTGCAATCCCCCCAGCGGGCGAAACCGACTGAGACAGGGCATCCGTACCAGCCGGCTCTGTCCCATCCACAGGAGGCGGCCCGGCAGCCCCCTTGTCCGAAGCAACCGTCTTGAGACGGTGAGGGGTCTTCGCAGCGGCGGCAGCGGCGGCATCTTCCGTGCTCTCGAGCGTTTCGGTAGCGACGCGGGCGCGGGCTGGCTCCAGGGGCTCGGACATGATCTGAGCGACTCTGAGGTCTCCGTCGTCATCATCTGCCACCAGGGTTTGATTCAAGCCATTTGCGGCCACCGCCGACACCGACGCCGCGTCCTCAGCTGCCGCTGGCTCCACCTGCGACCCGCCAGCCGTATGGCTGCTGGTCGGCGATGATGGCTCGGCAGCGGCGGCTTCAGAGCCCTCATCCCCCGACTCTGGTTCCAGCCCGCCGGCCGCTGCCTTGACTTTGTCGGCCCTCTTGGCCTGCCGCTTGGCCACGATTTTCAACTTGCGCTGCTCCTTCTCCAATTTCCGGAGTTGCTTTGGGTGGCGACGGGACAGCGACATGATAAAAAGAGCCCACGTGGGGATATGGGTGTAAGAAAGATATGAAGAGAAGCATGAATTGGTAGATATATCAACTGCATATGCAGAAGTGAGGATTTGGGGATTTATGAGGATGTGAAACGTCCTCATCTTGAAGGTTGCGATTGGGGGACGATTAGAGAAGTGCGCGAGGTAGGGGGGCAACCCGATGGATCTGGTCCGAAGGGAGGAATTATGGATCGTGCATGGACATGGGCATGGGCATGGGCAGGCGGGGTTGTGGGCGGAGACCTTCAAGCCTTCTGGTCAGGTCAGATCAGATCGAATCGGATCAGATCAGATAAGGTAAGATAAGATAAGATAAGCTGCGCCGGTGGTTAAGGATGGCCAACATCATCATCATCATCATCATCATCATCATCATCATCCCGCTCTCAACCTCCTCATTGCCGTCACAGGCAAGGTTGTCAACAGCAGCTTCATAGCTCCGGAAGGTTGCGGCACCAGCTCGCAACTCCGCCCTACCTTTTGGCTCAGCTTCTTCTTGTCCCCACCCTCCGCCGCCGCAGCCGTCGCGACCGCTGCCGTCGCCGCTTTCTCAGCCGCCGGGACCCTGCCGGCAGGGCCCTTCCCCTTGCCTGCCAGCGTCTTGCCGCCGCCCACATCCTGCTTCTCCAGCAGCCGCTCCTCCTGCTGCTTCTTTGAGTCCTCTGCCTCCGCCTCCGCAACCTCTTCTGGGTCCGGGCCCTCCTCTGTCTGGGCCTTTCCTGCCCCCCTTCCCTTGCCCTTCACTTTCCCAGCGGCCTCCCTACCGCCCTTCTGCGCTCCCACCGCCGCCTTAGCCGCCGCCTCCTTAGCCTTCTTCTCCTTTCTCTCCAGCTCGCGCTTCTCTCTCTTGCTAAGCTTCCTGCCCTTCCCCGCTGTTGCTGTTGCTGCGGCGGCAACAACCGCGGCAGAGCCCCCTGCCTGATGTTGTCCGGCCGCTGCTGCTGCAGCCGCAGCCGTTGCTGCTGCTGCGCCCAGCGCCTTGAGCTCCCGTTCGTCCAAGGCCGGCAGGTCATCAGGAATCGGCAGGGAGAGGTCATAAAACGACTCGGACGACACGGAGGTGTGGCCGCAGGTGTTGCAACGGATGCAGCTGGCGAGCTCTCCGCCAAACAGACTGGCAACGACGGAGGATGAATCATCGGCGGCCGCACCGTAAACGTCACTGCCTGCACCAGCCGCACCGCCGCCACCGCCGGCAGCGGGTGGTGATGGAGCTGACGAATCCGTCGCCACCGCCGCCGTCGCCGCCCCCGGCGAGGCGGGATCCTTGCCGGGTCGGCGGCGGGTCATTTCCATGGCGCGCTTCTCTTCCTCCTAGTGAACCCCAAACGGACAAACCAAGGGTGGGTCAGGGTAGGCCAGGGTAGGCCAGAGCACACAGCTTACGACGAGCCAACCGTGCCAACCGCGTTCCGAGGACGACTGGAGGGTAGGGTGCGGCAAGATACCCAACTGACGTTGGCTGTGCCATACATGCACAGAGCCCTTCAACCCAGGACCCCATCGTACCCCATCGTAATCCAGCAGACCTTCACTTCCATCCGCCCCGCACCGTAGCACATAGCATCCTACCGCCAAGGTCCACGTCGCCGAAGCGCAGAACAATCCTGGTACCCAGGAGCCCCAGTTCAACCCAACCCACCTGCAAACCGTCCAGGAGCAGCCGCAACAGCTCATGGCTATCGTGCTGCTGGCGGCCCTGCAGAAGTTGACAGTTGACGGTTTGCAAAGACAGACACACGCATGCACGCGCGCGTGCGCGCGCGCGGTGAAAAACACAATCGACCCGGGGATCGCACCGGGGGGAAATAGGTGTTAACTTTTTGGCCTTGGAATTGATTCTGTGTGAATTTTAGGTGAGATAGCGGAAATTTGGGTTTTGCAGTAGCAGGAATGAAATGGGGTTTATCATGTAAGGAGCCGGATTCCAGTTTAAAAGCAAAGCAAAGCGAGACACGTTTCCGCGTAAACACACATGGCTGTGACCTGGTTCTTATGGCCATTAAGTTGATGCCATGGGCGATATATATGCAACGGTCGCAACTCGGCCTCCGTAAAGACAGACGGTCACGGACGGGACGGAGTCACCTTTCAGACACGCACCTTGAACTGGGGCGCCACACGGCACACCGCAGCTAGCAGCGCCTGCGGATTGTATGCGCCCTTGTTGCCGTGCTGGGCGTGGTGGTGACCGTGGTTGTGATGGGCATTGTTGGGCTGTGAGGAGAGTCCCAGGGTGCCCCGGCCATGTAGGCCTGCGGGGTGTGTGAGTGTGAGTGTGTGTGCGGATGGCATTGGACTGAGGTGGGCTGAGTGAGTTTCAGCTCCCAAGCTGGGCTATAGGTTTGTAGTGTTAGCTGCCGGGCAAGAGGATTTAGGTAAGGCGGCTTTGAGGTGCAGGTGGAGGTTGAGGCTGGATGCAGGGGTCTACATGCCGGTGCATGACCGGACCATGGTAGGCCCCAGCGAGGGTTGTCGAAATCTTGTGGGATGCGCCCACAGGGTTCCAGCAAGGAGTGACCCGGTGCGGGAAAAACAAGAAGATGCTAGAAGACTGCAAGGACGGGTGCGCGAGCTGCACGCTGTGTGGAAGTGAGGAGCTTAATCGGAAGGGAAGGCGCTCATCTTCACTGCCTGCGAAATGCAGTGCAAAAAATGGACTGCCGACGGTCAGGTAACCAGTGCGGGAGGACGTGACGGAGGTGAGACTTGTGTGGACGAGATGGAAAACGCGTTTCCTCCTCTCGGACAGCTCTGCCATATGCGGTGCCCTTGGTTGGGGTTACTGGAGGTACTTTGTGTGGCCTTGGATGCGCAGCCAGGCTGTGTGGGGTAACCCAAAGGGCAAAGGGCTGATCACGCTCCGTGGCCCCTGTTGACACTGAAAGCGCAAGCACCACGATGCCGAATGCCTACCGTTGGCGTTGATGAATGCCTGCTGGAGAGCAAAGCCCAGCGGCCCGCGGCCAAGCACTCCCGGCTTGCCCGGCGACGATCCCCCTCCAGTGCCGCCCGGGAGCCCAGACTTGGTCCCCGCCTGCCCCCAAATTGGTGTTGCAGCTTTATTGAGTTGCGGACAGGCTAAGAGTAACTGGATCGCGGAATTGAAAAAGCATGTGTTCCCCAAATTCACGAGGCCAACGGCTGGGCCCGGTACAAGCAGCTGCAGTTCGACGCAGCCGCATGAGCTCGACGCAGGAGTCGGTACATCGTCAAAATCGGCCGCCCCAGAAAGCTCCAGAGCCTTTGTCATTCCTATTCGTTTGTGTGCGCGCGCCCCAAACGAGAGCCCTCAGCGTCATCCTTATGCGTTTACATAATAATCCCTGTGCATTTTCTAGGTAAGATGCCTGCAAAGGTGTGTATGCTTGGTTTAGGTATCTCGCAGAAGAACTGGGCCAAATCGCCACCCTACAGCATGCAAAGACCTCTTCTACATCCAATCTCTAGGAAAAAAGAGGACAAATCAGAAAAGATAATTGAGAAAACGGTCTGAGCCCTAACCATACCCCCCTACACCATGATCCAGCTCCAAAACCTCCATTCGCTAACTGTAACTCAAATTTCACGTTCTGCCTTCCTGCCTGCTATATAGGTAAAAAGCATGACCACTTGAGAGATACGTACGTAAGCATTTTTCTCTTTTCTAAGAAAGCTACCAGAGCCCTTCCAAAACTTCGGCTTCGGAGCGGCACGTAACCTTTGCCCTCACCCATCCTTAGCACATCTAACTACAAGTCATCATACTCCAAAACGTGGCGTGTCACACGATGACCTGATGCCATCGGCGAGCCCATGCCAAACATGCCAAACATCGGTGGCTGCCTCATCGGCATCCGCATCGGGCCTGGTGCAATAGCGATGGGCGGGAAGTCGAACGGCACTCCATAACCCTCCGATACGGTGTAGTCGCGACGCTGCTGGGATGGACCCGTCTTCTGCAGGGCCAGGTGAAAAGGGGTATATTGCGAGAGCTCATTGTGTGTGGCGCAAATTCCTAATCACAATGGCAGGTTCTCCTAATTCCTCCTCTCTGCCAGAGCACATAAAAGCCGAGCAACAATGACTTTCACAGCTTTCCTCGCACCAACTCGCTGCCCCGGGCGCCTTCCCACCCTTAACCCGAACATAAAACCTTCCTCTCCAGAGAGCACAACCAAGTTCCAACCACCCACCTTCCAATCCGGAAGCGAGCCCTGTGCCCTAGCCACCGTCAGTCTATGGCCGCCCGCTTCCACGCCCATGCTGCGGGACAAGTCCAGCACTGCAGTAGCGGCCTCAGGGCTGGAGAATCTTACGAAGCCGTACAACTGCCCCGAAACCAGTCTGGCATTGACCACCTCCTACAGTCGCGGAAAAGTACATCTTAGCATTTCAGGATGCGAGCAGGAGGACTAAGAACGAGGAAAATTAACACGAACATCGAGCTCCGGTGTCCTGGTTCAATGCCAGTTATATCGCATATCGCAATTTTTGGAGAAAACGCACTGACTTGTAGAAAATGGGAAATGCCGGCTGGCATTTCCCTCCTTACCAGCCCCACACCAATCCCTCACACCGAACGGCGCAAAGGAAAACCAGAGAAGGCTTACACTGCGTACACACCCACAGCCAGTTCCCGTCCTCCCTTGCAGTCCCAAAGATCGCAAACCCCGCGCACGCACCGCCAAACGCAGCTCCCACCTCAAGCCCGTTCCCACCTCAAGCCCGTTCCCACCTCAAGCCCGTTCCCACCGCAAGCCCGTTCCCACCTCAAGCCCGTTCCCACCTCAAGCCCGTTCCCACCTCAAGCCCGTTCCCACCGCAAGCCCGTTCCCACCTCAAGCCCGTTCCCACCTCAAGCCCGTTCCCACCTCAAGCCCGTTCCCACCGCAAGCCCGTTCCCACCTCAAGCCCGTTCCCACCTCAAGCCCGTTCCCACCTCAAGCCCGTTCCCACCTCAAGCCCGTTCCCACCTCAAGCCCGTTCCCACCTCAAGCCCGTTCCCACCTCAAGCCCGTTCCCACCTTGGAGTACGTGGCGAACACGTTCCGCAGCTCCGCCACGCTGATGCCGTGCGGCAGGTCCCCAACGAACAAAGTACACGCGAGCTCCAGTGACCGCGTATCGCTGCCGCCGCCGCCGCCGCCGCCGCCGCTGCCACCGAAGCTGCGCTCCCTCTCCCGGTCTCGGTCCCGCCCATCCGATCGGTCGCATGCGCGGGGCCCTCCGCCCCCTCGCTGACCCTGCGCGTCCCACTCACGAACCGCACTACGATCCCGGTCACGATCCCTGTCCCGTGGGTCGCCGCGCTCGCGGTCGCGGTCGCGATTGCGGTCCTGCCGTCGATCCATGTCCCGATGATGCTGGGCCGCGGTAGCGAACCCGCCAGCTGGCTGGGTGGCGGCGGCTCCGCCGCCGCCGCCGCCGCCGCCGATGCCGCTACCGGCGCCGCTGCTGCCGCCGCCGGAGCCGCGATTGTCCGATGGGGGTGGAGGTGGAGGCAAAGGCCGTGTAGCCGACCTACAGCACGAGCGCAGCCAGGTGGAAAACATGGGGGAAGAGGAAGGGATTGTTATGTTGCTTCGGGCCCTCAGCAGGTCACGGCTACACGACCGTGTTTGCAGCGGAAACCAGACTACACACCGGCTATATATAGGATTGGCGTGTCCACCTCTCCATCATCATCATAACACTCGGGCAATAGTGCGACAGGAGCTCGTTTGTTTGTCAGCGCCAAAGAGCAGCACCGGAAACAGCCCCTTTATGTTCCAATCAGTCGCTCCGAAGCACTGTGGCGATTGGACGAATGAATTACGCCCTAATAAGCCTAATGATGAACCCTTGACGACCTGCGGTAACAAGTATGTTGATGTCCGGGATGTCCGGGGCGCTCACCGACACACCGACACACATACACACACACCATCCGGGCCCAACTGGCACGCACCCGTAGGCTGTCTAGCCAGATACCCTGTCCATGGCGGCTGTGTCTAGCCAGACAGCTTCCTTGCTTCGTGAAACCCATGGGACTGCATGAACACATGTTGCGCACGATGTTGCGACTTACCCCTCCGGGGAGGTGTTGCCAGCGCCACTGCCGTTGCCGCCGGCCCCAGGAGCTGCCAGCTGTAGCAGCGGCGGTGCCGCCGCCGCCGCCGCCGCCGCCGCTGCTGGCGCCGCCATTGCTGTATTACCTGGCGGCCCAGCCGCTGCCTGAGCATGCGCATAACCCTGTTGCCCGCGGCGCCTGCCACCGCGCTGACGCCGCCGGCGCCGGCGCCCGCCGCGTTTGCCAGGATCAGCACCATTACCACCACCACCACCACCACCACCGCGGTAGTAACTCACCGGCGGCGGCGGCGAGCGTGCGCCACCTCTGCGGCCCGCTGCCGCTCTGGGCGACCAGGACCGAGAGCGAGACCTGGAGCGGGACGGAGATCGTGCGACGCGGCCGCCGCTGCCCCTCCCTCGAGTTGGAGATCGCGACCCACGGGACCGTGAGTTGCGCCGCTTCAGGTGGTACGGAGGAGATCGAGATCGCGACCGCGAGAGGGACCGCCGCCGCTGCGGCGGGGCACCGCCACGCAGTCCCCACGTACGGCCCGTACTTGCACCAGGTGATCTGGACCTGGACCTGGATCTGTAGTCCATATCTGATTCCGAGGATGCCGTACCAGAAGACGAGCCGGATTCACCTTCGCCTAAAGACGCGCACGGCGATGCAACGGACGGGCCGCCGACTGACCCGCGGGCGGGCCGCCCCCTTACGGGACTGCCGCCACCGCCACCGCCGCCACCACCGCTGCCGCCGGCACCGTTACCCCCTGCGAATGGCGACGACTCCGGCACACCGAAGCCCGTGCTTCTGGCTGGCATGAGCGGCAGGGACGAAAGTGCACGCGGCCTGGGAGGCGGCGGAGGTGGAATGGTCTGTGGCGGCGAAACCGCAGAATTGACCCTCGGCGTGAGGTTAGAACCCGGGGGAGGTGGCAATGGTAGAGGCGGCGGAGGCACCGCCGTCGCCGTCGCCCGGTACGGCCCGAGCTTTACACGGATCACAGTCCCGCTGCCACCCGCGTTACCGCGGGCCTTCACCGTACAAGTCTTGCTGATGCAACCCTCCTCTCCGTCATCCTCGTTCTCGTCCGCCTGGGCGGCGGGGAGGGTGACCTGGCGTGCCCGCTGGCCGGACGGCTCTCCCAGTCCTGGCGTGTTGGGCGACGGCGGTGGCGGCGGCGCGGCATGTGGGGGTTGCACCCTGCCCGCCTGGACGCCACCGTTGCCGCCGCCACCGCCGCAGCCGTGCACAGATGCACTTGTGCTCTCCTGTACCTTACCTAGCTGCATCTGCTGCTGCTTAGGCTGGGCCTGCATCTGCTGCTGCAGCTGGTGCTGTTTCTGATGTGAAGGTGTTGCTGCTGCCTCTTGCCGCTGCTGCGGCTGCTGTTGCCGCCGCTGCTGCTGTTGCTCCCGTTGCGCCATATGTCGCTGGTGGTGGTGCTGCGGCTGCCTCGGCAACGGTGGCGGCGGTGGCGGCGGCGGCCGTCGACCCGCGGCGGCATCCTCTGCTGCCGGTTCCAGCTTCACTGCACGTAACTGGGCCCTACTCTCCTGCACTCGCGGCCCATGTTGCTGTCCATGTTGCTGTCCATGTTGCTGTCCAAGTTGCTGCGGCTTTCGTTGTCCTCCTCGTTCGTGCTGCTGCCCTTGCTGCTGCTGCCCTTCTTGTTGTTGCTGTTGTTGTTGCTTCTGTCGTCGCTCTTGATGCAGCTGTGCTCGTGCGTGCCCCTCATTGATCCCACATATCGCCATCGCATGCGGCTGATCATCATCATCAACATCATCATTATCATCATCATCGAGTCCGTAGCATGCCCCTGAGAGCTGCATGGCGCTGCCGCTGGCTCCATGACGCCCGGACCCCTGCGGCTGCTGCTGCTGCTGCTGCTGCGGGGCCGGCGGCGGTGGGGAATGCGGCTGCCCAGGAGCCCACTCCATTGGCCCAGGCCGCATGCTCGGCTGCCGCTGGTGCAGGACCTCAAGTATTTGGCCCTGCTGCTGCTGCTGATCCGGATGCTGATGTGCTTGTTGTTGAGGCGGCGGTAGCAAGCCTCCGGGCGAGGCCGTTCCAGGTCCAATGCCTGCTGGTAGCCAAAGGCCGGGTCCCGGGGCTCGGACCGCTAGCTCGTTGTCCTCACAAAGCTCGTCGTCGGACTGTATGAGGGCATGAAACGACGCGTCCAAGTCGTCGCCGTCGTCATCAAAGGTCAACGCCGCCGCTGCTTCAAGCTCCGAGCCGTCCGCCATGGTCAACGCCGCAATGACCGAGAAGTCCATGGCCGTCGCTGACCCGGGAGCTGCGTTAGCGCCAGCTGCCGCCGCGCTGCCGGCCGTGGCGGCGGCGGCGGCGGCGCCGCCGCCGACGGCAGTATTACCCGTTGACGACGTCAAGGCTGCTGTATCCGCCGCCGCCGCCGCTGCTGTATTAGCAGCATCGGGGAGTGCAAAGGGCACCCCGCTAAGGAAGGTTTGCAGTCCAAAGTCGGATGTAGCTGCCGAATTGTCAAGCGAAGGTAGAGGCTGTAGCTGCTGTAGCGATGGTAGCATAGGATCGAAGCCATCGGGGACGAGGGCCCCAACGCCGACGCTGGCGGCACCAGCGGCCGCTGTCGCAGCAACACCGGCAACGGCACCGTCGCCGCCTGCCGCGGCGGAGGCACTCAGCGCCGCAAAGGCGGCGGTACCGTCATCTAGAGCGATGGGTGCGAACGGCGCCGCGAACGGTATGACCCCCCACACCGCCGAGCCGTCGACACCTGCCATGAAAGACCCGGCGTTGGGATCCCCAAGGCATGGCGGCAGGCCGTTGGTATCCGACAGGACCGGCAAGCCGTTGGCGTCCGTCAAGCACGGCATAGGCAATGGCACAGGTGACGTAGAGGTAGCCTCCGCCAGCGCCGCCGTGGCTTCTGCCAGCGCCGCCGTCGCCTGCACGAGCGCCGCCGTCGCCTCCGCCAGCGCTGATTGCGCCTCCTCCGGCGACACCGCCGGTACGGCAGGAACTAGCAGTGCATCGCACCCCGGCACGCCCGCCGCTACACCGTCGCCGCCGCCAAGCACTCCCAAGCCGTCCGTACCCAGCGGTAGGCCGCTCAAAGCGCCCAGAGCTGCGGCGGTCGCGACGACGGGGTCGCTAAGGATCAGCGGCACCGTCAGCCCTGCGCCGGCTGCCGTGGCGGCACTGGCCAGTCCGGCGTCGGGACCGTCGCCACCCGTACCATCATGCATCGCATCGTCAGCGCCGTCGTACTGTGGAATGGTGTCCATGCAATTCCTGGCACTACCATCGTACGAACAGCGCAGCCGCTGCTGCCCTAATCCTCCGCCAGCGCTGCCGGTTCCGCCGCCGCCGCCGCCACCGTTGTAGCCGCTGGCTTCGCAGTCGCTATCCCCATCCCCATCTCCACAACTGCCGTCGCCAATGCCGCCGCGAAAGGCACCGTAATGCCAGCTTTCAACATGCATTCTGCTTCTGGCAATTCGACTCCCGCCGTCAGCAGACGTAAGGCCAAAAACAGTACCGTCAACGCTGTGGCCGTGATTGCTGCAGCTGCCGCTGTGGCCAAGAACATCGCCGCCCATGCTACTGCAGCTGCCTCTCGTACATGCACTACCCTGCACGGCCCCTGGACAAATCCGCCTTGCTAAAGGGCACACCATGCCCGGACCGCCATGTCCGAGACAGACATCCCTGACCGCGGCTGCGGCGGCAGCCGCCGTACAGCCGCACCCGTGCAAAGCCGACGGATCGTAGTCGTCCTCGTCGTCTGACCCATACGACGACGAGGATGGCGGCGGCGGCTCCGGCACCGGACGCTTATTCCCCGCCAGCGACGCGCCCGCGCCGCCGCCGGTAGCACCGCTGCCGCCACCTGACATGGGCATTTTAAATCCCGCTGGAACCGGTGGTTTGAATCCCGCGTGTCCTAATGGCCTCGGGAGGCTCGTGGGAACAGGGGGTTTGAAGCCCGGTGGGCCAGGGGGCTTAAAGCCAGCCGGCACGGGGGGCTTAAAGCCTCCGGGCACCGGAGGCTTGAACCCCGCAGGTGCCGGGGGTTTGTATCCGGGTGGAGCGGATGACGCCTTGGCGCTGGGTGCTGTGGGCACCGCACCGCCGCCGCCAGCAGCGGCGGCGGCAGCAGGAACTGAACCGCCGCCGCCGCTTCCGCCGCTGGCACTGCCGCCGCGCTGCCGACTGATGGGCACATAGCCCACGGGCGCAGGCTCGGGCTCGGACGCTGCCGGGGTGTGTAGCGGCGTGGGCGGCGGTCCGCCGGCCCCCGCGTTCCTCCTCGCCGCGCTAGGCAGCTTGCGGCCTGTGATCGACGTGGTCGCGGGGGCAGCTGCAGCTGCACCGCTGCCGACTTGCTCGCCCGCTTCCGCGGCTTCTGTCCTTTGTTTCTGTAGCCGGAGAGCCTACAGGGGGGACAACCATGAGCAACATCAACACGCAATGGGAATCCAGCTAGAGAAGTTGCGCAGCAAAAAAGGCAGCGTGCTTTACTTACACCTAGCGGGGAAAAGTGGCTTCCGTAGCCTGCGAGCACGCGCGAGTGCGTGTGTATATGTGCGTGTGAAAGTGTGGGCCTGGCCATGCAGGTGTACGTGAGAATAACGGCGCAAAACCCTCTCTGGCTATTTAGGCTAAAAAGGTGCTAAAACACAAAACCCATAGGGGCCTGTGAAGGCGCCTCACCCGCCCACATCCGTCCATAGCACGGGGCCTGCAGGCCTAAGGGACGGGCGATGCCAATCCTTTCAAATTGCTGAATGGCTAGCAGCGGGTAGAAATGCAGAGACGGGGCGTGTGCTCAGATACCAGGTGCCGGCTATTGTCTACTTGCGAAGTTGCAGCTGTGGATAGATTGTGGTTGTGCCAAAGCCATAGTGTTTAGCTGTTTCTCGCCAATACCGCTCGACTAGGACGACAGCTCCCGTACACCACACTCCCTGGTTCCCCCGAGCCGTATACACATACAGACACACATACACAGCTGCATGCGCTGACGCGGGAACGTGCGCTGGCATATATTACAGCTGGCATATGGTGCAGCACAGTGCGCTGAGCGGCTGGGATCACCAAAGGTGATTATTCCGGAATGGGGACGCGTCCGGATTGTGCGTCCGAAAAGCAAGGGGGAAGCAAAATGCACAAGGTCTCAACGCCGGTTCCTTCCCTCTGGTATCGGTCCTTACCCGAAGAGCACGGTCTTTGGCCGTCTCTCCCGCCGGCGTGGCATCCGCGGGCGCGGCGGCAGCCGCGGTGCTGTCGGCCCTCTCCACGCTGCTGGCCCGCGACCCAGGTGCCACGTGGCTACCCCGCGCGGGCAACGATATCGTACTATTTCCCGTGCCAAGGGCTAATGCCAGGGAGGGCGGCAGCTTGGAAGCCAGGCTCTGGCGGACCTGCTGTGCTGCGGCTTGCCGCCTGGCCGCCGCGGCTTCCTGCGAATGAAAGGTGTCAAAGCGCAGGACGGGTGTCAAAAGCAGAGAGAATATGTGCATATGTCGTATGAAATTGTTCTGGAAGCAGGCAACAAGCTACGATTTTGAGGGTCGCGAAGGTCGAGTCACCGACAGACATGATATGCAAATGAGCCCATCTTCGAGCGGGGATCCTGGTGATTGTTTCTCCTCAAAGCCGAGATGTGGGAATCCGGCTGGAATAGGCCGGCGGCCCTCGAAACAAGTTGTTTACCGCAGCTACACCCGGAGAAACATCCGCCCCGCCCACCTCCTTTCTTTGCCGAAATTGTTCAAATTTCTTTAGCAAGTATGTCTCAGCTGCTGAATGCATCATCCTGAAGGTATACGCCCAACAGCTGGGCTAACGCGGCGGCCAGCAGGACACAGCGTTGCACCTGTGTATCAACAGCTAAAAAGAACTAAGCCAGTGAAGTTCTGTACTGTGCATACATCTAGTATTACGATCATAATCGGCTGATAGATAAACTGCAAGGGGCCGAGAACACACTGCGACACCGTTGGAAAGGAGCTTAGTGCTCCTGTCGAGCGGCAGGTATAATCACTTTCTGATCCATCAAATGATGTTATTCTTTATGTAACAGCTAGCAGGATTTGCTTCGGTTTGACGGTTTCCATAACACGCCCGTACTTTTGCATGGCACTTTGCAAGGAGAAGACGATTTCCCCTTTTACAACTAATTTAAATACCCGCCTCATCAATTGCGTACACGTTTATTTGCAGCATTTTGTATGCCCGCCCCATTTCCTTAATTTGGTTCACTTAAAGCGTCATACATTGACGAGCAGCCGACATCGCAAAAGCAACAGATACTTTATCTTAATCCCATACTTATAATTCTATTTTCTATCCGTTTAGCGGAAGGCTGCCTTGTTACGGCCGTGCATGAGCACTGCCCATATGGCTTTCGTTGGCGTCGCCGCTGCAGCGGTTGCGGGTGCCGTTGCAGCTGCTTTTACAAGCAAACGTACCCGTCATTCAAAGGTAATTTTGAAGCCGGCATGCAGGCCACTTGTTGAATTAGCGGCGGCTCGCATGACCCAGGGTCGTCGTTGTTCCTCTTGCCAACCTCTTGCCAACCCGGGTTTTACACAAGAGACTGGCTGAGGATTGATCTAGGTCGCTGGAACTATATGGAACGTCCCTCATATCCGTAACTGCGTTGCATATAAGTTGTATTGTTTGATTGCGTGTGATGGGCGGAAGTCTGCACTGAGCACGTTCCAGAGGGTGTTCGGCCCATCGTTCGGGGTTACCGTGCAGGCCGCTGCCATAACGTCCAGTCATAGCTCTGATTTTCTTCCACCTGACATGTTGCGACACGGCTCACGCATTGGTTCTACCACACCGCATTAGCCGCGGCTCTCCCGCAGTTAACGATTCCTTTTGTGGCATGCGTCAGGCCCCTTTAAACACAAACTGCGGTTCCCCCCCCCCCCACACACACACACATGCAAACGCTTTAGCATTTGCGAACTCAACCGTCCGGCAATGGTTGAGTTCCTCTCCTCCCTCCCGCCCCCCTCAGCTCCCCCGAAGACATATTGCAAAATATTTGTTTCCTTACCACGCTTGCCGACATGACATGCCGCTCGCGCGCTCCAAAATTCGCATTTTTAACACATTTTTTTCTTGAGGTGCCCCTCAAAACCCACAACAAACACCAGCTCCCTCTTTTTGCAGTCTCCGCCCCTGCACACTCCCCTTCCCCGCAGCCCAATCCTCCGCCTGTTCCTCCTCCTCCATCCACCTGCAAAGCACCCCCCGTCATGGCATTTACAGTCAATCACTCAATCACCGAATGACCCCTCCGGCCGGACGTCGCATCCACATCCACATCCACATCCCTCCATTCTACGCTCACCGTCAAAACCCCTCCACCAACACACCCCAACGCACCGCATCAAATCCCGGGGGGACTGCCCCCCCACCCCCCTTTTTCACAGCCCCTCGGGGAAATCCGGGAAATCCTCCCAAGGCTTATCCCCAGAGCTTCCTCCCCCACGTAGCTCCTTCCCCACCTCCCCTACTGGTCAGTTCTGCTTCTCTTTCCTTGGCAGCAGCTTCACTCGCTCGCGTGGTTCGTCTTTTCCTCCTTTTGACTCCGCAGCCCATATCCGCGGATGTGGAGTTCCTGCTGACGCGCGCGGCGGCCCTGCAGCGAGCCGCACGAGGGTCAGAACCCCGGGGGGGCCCCGACGGCGGCGGCGGCGATGGCAAGGAGGAGGTCAGCCTGGAGCATCTCGTGGCGGCGCTGGAGGCCACACGTACGGCGCTGCAACCGTCAAAACTGCCAAACCCGTACGGCGGCCCGGGGGGATCCCGGGGCCACCCAGGCGGTGAGCGAAGGAGGGCTTGCGTGTGTGTATGTGTGTGTTTTTGTGTGTTTTGCTGTACGGGGACAAGGGAACGAGGACGGGTGGCAGTCTGGAGACCAGGATAGAGACAAAAGGTGCTATGGGATGCGAGAACTGAACGGGGGAAGGCGTAGCAGGTAGGGGAAGTAGTACAATCTATTTCCCATTTCTGATACTCTGGTCGCGAAACCCTCCCTAGTCTTCCCCCTCTCTCGGTATCTCTTCCTTCTCTCTCTCTCTCTCTCTCTCCTCTCTCTCTCTCCTTCTCTCCCCCTTCTTCCCGCGAGTCTGATCCCGCTTCTATTCGGAATAAACGTCTTTTGTGTTCTGTTTTATATTAGTTGGACGGCTTTTGTGTCCCGTCGATGTCCTCTCTTTTTCCCATAAGGCCCTCCGAACGTGACCTCGCTGATAATACTTTTTTTTATTCAAAACCTGTTCAGATCCGGGCGGCGGCGGCGGCGGCGGCAGCGGTGCTGCTGCTGGCGGTGCTGCTGGTTCCGGAGCCTTGACGAAGAAGGAGCTGGAGGACACGATGAAGACGCTGCTGCAGCCCCCCGGGGCGCTCAGTGGCCCTGACGCGGATCTGTCCCCCCTGGAGCGATTTACACAGGTGTGTGCTCTGGGGGGCCTTATGTCGGCTGCCTGTGTGGCCTAAAATGTGCCGGTGGGTGGAGAGGGGGATGAGGGATTTGGATGAGGGGGCATCTGGGTCATTAAAGGAAATGGCTACGGGTCTTCCTTTGGTTGGCTCGGGTGAAAGGATGCTGTGCTGCCGCCTCTTTTCCCCACACACGTGTGTGTGTGTGTGTGTGCTTTCGCTCTCCTCGGCCCCCTTTCCTCGTTCGTGGTTCGTCTTCCCCCCAATACACATACACATACGCACACACTTACACGCGCCCATCCATCCACGTCTTCCTTTCCCACACAGTCCCACCAAGGGGTGATACTTCTCTTTGTCTGCTGCGGCGCTTTTCTTTTCACGTTGCGTCGCACCCGCTAGCCCCCTGACGTACACCTGTCACTTTTTGTGTATAACACACAATCCCGTGACATGTTCACAGACAGACACACACACAGACACATACACACAGACACACACACACACAGACACAGACACACACACACAGACACACAGACACACACACACACACACAGACACACAGACACACACACACACAGACACACAGACACACACACACACAAAAAAAAACCTCACGAGACGCGGCACACCACCTTCCCCAGGACTTGACCGAAGCAGCCCGGGCGGGGAAGCTGGACCCCGTCATCGGCCGAGATGAAGAGATCCGCAGGGTGATGCACATCCTGTGTAGGAGAACGAAGAACAACCCGGTAAGGTGCGGGCCCCCCCCCCGTCCCCCTCCCGTCCGTTTCCTTGGCAGCAGCTTGGCACTCGTTCGCGGTTCGTCTTTCCCCCCCTGGGCTATCCGTCTATCTCTGGTACCATCTGCTTCATTCGCCAGTGGTTGGCCTTACCCCCCTGGCCCCCCCCATACACAATACACACACACACTTACACATACACCCCGCCGCCGCCTCCTCGCTTTGTGGCAGTCTAGCGGGGCTCGTCGCATGCCGCTGTTAGGGGATCCTGGTTGGTTTTCAGGTCTTTTCCATCCGCCACTTAATGATCACGTGCTTTTTTAAGTTCAGATTCCTTCCCCTGTTCCTGTTGCGCGGGAAAGCGTTTCTCCCACGCTCTTTCCGTGTCCTTTATCGCTCTCTTCTCCCTCCTATCTCCGTCTGTTTGTCTGTCTGTCTGTTTATCTGTCTGTCTTTTTCCCCTTCCGCCCAAGGTGCTGGTGGGGGAGACGGGCGTGGGCAAGACTGCGCTTGTGGAGGGGCTGGCGCAGAGGCTCGTGGCAGGGGACGTGCCGTACAGCCTCATGGGCTGCCGTATAGTGGAACTGGATCTTGGTAGGGTCGGGGATGGGAATCGACCAGGGGTTCGGAGGGGCCTAACGTTGGGTTGGGTAGGGCGCCGCCACGGTGTGTGTGTATATATGTATGTATGTGTGTGTGTGTTGGAGGTTCCTGACAGGTTGGAGGGAGTAGAGGAACAAGACCTGTGTGTACGGGGCACCACTTCACCCCAGTTTACCCCAGAAGACAGAGCAGGACAGGACACGACGGGACACGAAACCGGTGTGAGCGCAGGAACACACCGCGGGGGGGGCCCTGTGCACCGGGGGCCTCACCTCCTCCTCCTCCCGGCCATATGCAGGGAGCCTCATTTCTGCGGTTGAACCGCCGTCAGTCGCCCATTTCCCTCCATTTCCCCTAGCCTCCTCTCCTCTCCTCCCCCAGCCTCCTCTCCTAAATCTACAACGATACACACACCGTTAATATCAGACCATACACGCACACACTCTTACAGCACGCACATACATACATACATACATACATCCATACGGCTCTCGCGGCCCATGTAATCTAAGTCATACATACATACAACCATTCAGGTTCCCTGACCGCCGGCGCCATGATGCCTGGTGAGTTCGAGGACCGGCTGAAGGCGGTGCTCCAAGAGGTGGCGGCCTCCCGGGGCCGGGTGCTGCTGTTCATTGACGACATCCACAACCTTGTGCCGGCCATGGGGCAACAGGTGGGTTGACGGGGGAGGGAGGGAGGGGGGGAGGGAGGGAGGCCGTGTGCATGTTTTGTTGGTGTGTTTTAATGGTCTGGGCTGTAGTCGTTAGTGTGTGTATAGGTGTATGTGTTCTTGCTGCGTGTGTGTCGGTGTGTATCGGGCTTTGTGTGTGTGTGTGTGTATGTACGGGGGGTTCATCATGAACCCGAACCCCAGAGGCTGTAAAGAAGAGAGGCTGTGGGCCCAGAAGGTCTAGATGGATGGATGTAAAGTAGATGTGTAGATGTATTATTGTGCTCCCTTCTTTACATGCCGACGTTCACCTTACTCCACTTTCTCCCCCCCACCCCCCTCGTCCTCATCCTCATCCCTTCCCGCCTCCTCCTCCTTCCCTCCTCATCGCCACACTTTCCTCCCTTGGCCTCATTGTTTTTCCTCTCTCTCTCTAAGGGCGCGACCATGCTGGACGGTGGTTCCCTGTTGAAGCCGTTTCTGTCCCGCGGCGAGCTGCGCTGCATCGGGGCCTCCTCCACGGACAAGTTCAAGAAGACCATTGAGAAGGACCCCGGGCTGGAGAGGAGGTTCCAGCAGGTGGCTAGGGGGCTGGGAGACCCTGTGTTGCCAGTGGGGGTGGTAAGGGGGGGGGATCTGTCCGGCTGCGGGGGGCGCAGAGGAGCGGAGGTTGGGGGCTGCGTTTAGTTTCCCCCCCCTCCCTCCCTCCCTCCCTCCCTCCCTGTTTTGCGACGTATATCCAAACCACTTCCCCTTCGCATCAATCCCTACTACATACCAGGACGTGTTCTCTATCACAGGTATCTGCTTTATTCGCAAGTGCTTGGTCTTAGCTCCTCCCTTCCTCCACCTCCCGTCTCCCCCTCCCGTCTCGCTACCCAGGTCTTTGTTGACCAGCCCAGTGTCGCGGTCACCATCTCCATCCTCCGCGGTCTGCGGCCCCACTACGAGCGGCACCACGGGGTGAGGGTGGGGGAGGATGCGCTGGTGGCAGCGGCCCAGCTCTCGGCCAGGTACATCGCGGGAAGGTTCCTGCCGGACAAGGCAATCGACCTCATGGACGAGGCCACGGCACAGGTAAGAGAGGGAAGAAGGGGGAAGAAGGGGGGAGGGAGGGAGGGAGGGGATGCAAGGGGAGGGAGGGAAGAGAGAGGACTCTCATCGTCCATTTCCCGCCATATACGATTGGCGGGAAAAAGGTAAAAAAAGATTCGCCAAGTAATTCGGCCAAGTAATCGCCAAAAGACCCTCCGATATCTCGCGGGGGAGGGGGAAAGGGGAGTGCCACACGGGGGTTGGACACCGATGCGTGTGGTGTGTGGGTTTTTCCCCACCCCACCCCACCCTACCCGGGTACTTTGGCTGTGTGTGGCACCGAATGGCGCTCTGCTTGGCAAGCCCCCCCGTTGTCCCCCCCCCGCTGGTGGCTACGTACTTGGTGCGCTTCATCACCACAGCGCCCGCGTAGCTGTGCGCTCTGTCGTCCCTTTCCCTTGCACGGGTGTTTTGTATTTATTCCACCACTTTCTGCCCTTGTTTTTTGGTGGTTCATCGTACCCCCTTTCCCCCCCGCGTCCTTCCCTTCATCGTCCGTACACTCTTGCCCTGGCAGCAGCTTCACTCGTTCACGTTTTGGTTCGTCTTTCCCCCCCCCCCCGTTCTGCCCCCTTCATCGTCCTGACGACCGACGCCTCCCTCCCTCCCCACCTTTTCCCCCCTGGCACCCCTCTCCCCCCCTCTACAGATTAAGATGGAGATGACTCTGCGGCCCAGTGCCCTGGACTCCCTGGAGCGCCGTCTCAAGCAGCTGGATCTGGAACTGGCGCAGCTGACGGAGAAGGCGGCGGGGGGGGAGGACAAGACAGCGGCCACCTGCCTGGAGGAGATCAAGGTACGTGAAGGGGGGAAGGGGGAGAGGGGAGAGGGGGGAAGAGGCGAACCACGGGCCGGTGAAGCTGATGCCAAGGAAAGACTGATGCGCCAGAAGTAAAAGAAAGGCATAGGGGGGAGGAGGAGGGGGAGGGGGCGGGAGGAGGAGGGGGAGGGGGCGGGAGGAGAAGGGGGAGGGGGCGGGAGGAGGAGGGGGAGGGGGCGGGAGGAGAAGGGAGGATTGCGACGGCGTGGCCGCCTCTCCCTTCCAGGCCGGGGCGGCTTCAAGGATTATTCGTTTCAGCATGGCTCCTCCGCATGGCGATGAATCTGATGGCAATTGTACTGCATTAATGCCGTACACTTCCTTGCGAATCAGTTTTGCATGGTTTGAATGTCATTCTGGTACCCCGCGTTTTGCCGGCATTACCACGGCCACCACTGCTGCGTTGATTTACGCGTATGTATGTATGTATGTATGTATGTATGTGGGTGTGATGGTCGTACAGGCCGAGCGTGCGAGTGTGGCGACCCAACGAGATCAAGTGGCGGCGGTCTGGAAGGCGGAGCGCGAGGCGGGAGTTAAAGTGGAGGAGCTGCTGCTAAGGAAGCAGTACATTGACATGGAGGTACGTACGGTACGGATTAAGCAGCGGTATTGGCAGCACTTGATGCGTATTGTCTTTTGGCTTTTGTATCCGGCTACACTCAATCGCTTTTGCAAACCATTTCTGTCGTTCAAGCATCCTGGTTCCGTACGTCGTACGATGAAAGGTAATTTGTCGTACAGGTGGCCAGGCTAGAGGCGGCCTTGGACAATGGCGACGTCGAGGCCGACGGCGAAGAGGACGATGAGGAGCGGGAGGACGATGAATACGACATGGACGGCACGGCGGGCCCTATGTCGAGCGGAATGTACGGCGACGGGGAGCTCAACGGCCATGGCGAGGGCCGTGCAGGCCGCGCCGGCCATGCCATGCTGGCGCGGCTCCGTACACAAGCTACGGAAGTTCAGGAGTCGTTGGCACGAGCGCGCGCGGCGGAAGCGGCTGGCGGCGGTGGCGGCGGCGGCGGCGGCGCAGCTGCGGGGCCTGGCATTGGCGGCGGGCGGCTCGTACGACACACTGTTTCCGACGGCGACATTGCCGCCGTCATCAGTCGGTGGACTGGTATACCCGTGACCAAGCTGGTGGCGAGTGAACGTGAGAGACTGCTCGGACTGCAGGTATGTCTGTGCTTGAAGTCTCCGTTTCTAGCATTGCCATCATCATCGTCATCGCCATCATCGCCATCATCCAGGCCGTCACCCTTTCCTTTCCTTCGGTGGGCATGGGCACTTGATCCTTAGCTGCTAGGTTCTAGATATCCCCCCCACCCCTCCCCCCGACGTCCCCCACCCCACCCCACAACAGTCAGTTCCGCTTCCCATACATCTGCCGCAGCACTCTTTCGCCACTTGGCAGCAGCTTCACTCGTTCACATGGTTCGTCTTTTCCCCCCCTCCCCCCAACACCCGACGCCCGACACAGGACGAGCTGCACCGCCGTATCATCGGCCAGGAGGAGGCGGTGGATGCGGTTGCGGAGGCGGTACAGCGCAGCAGGGCGGATGTGGCGGACCTGAACGGGCCCATCGCCTCGTTCATGTTTCTGGGACCCACAGGTCGGGTCGGGTCGGGTCGGGTGGCGGTGGGGGTGGGGAGAAATAAGGATGGGGGGGGCCTTACTTACGACATGCTGAAGAGGTGTTGGGAGTTTTGCACGACGTTCTTTTGGGGCAATGCGGCGGTCGGGCGGCTGCTTTTTCTTCGGCCCCCCCCCTCCCTCTCCCCGCTTTTCTTCGTGTGCCTGTCACGTGGCCCCGCTCCGTTGTTCTGCCGTACTCCCCGTGGCCTGGTGTCGCGGCCTCGGCAGCACCTTCAGCATGTTGCGTCTGGTCGTATCCTTTGGCCCTATCTTGGGTCGGGTTGGGTTGGCCCCTTTCCCTCCCCCCCTTTTTAGTCCTGGCGGTTATTTAGGTAGTTTTTTCCGACATCTTCTTCATTACTTCATCCCGAGGTCGCCACCTTCAAGAACGCGTTTTGGTCAGTTCTACTCCTGGCACTACACTCTTGCCCCGGCAGCAGCGTCACTCGTTCACGTGGTTCGTCTTTCCCCCTCCCGCGTTCTGCCCTTCATCGTCCTGACGACCGACGCCTCCCTCCCGCCCCGCCTTTTCCCCCCTGGCACCCCCTCCCCCCCTCATCATCGCGTATGGCTCCTTAGGGGCGGTTTCGGACTTCAACTGCCATCCGATAGTTCATTTTTTCTGAGTTCCTCGCATCGTATGATTTCAAACCCCGCCGCCTCCGCCTCCGCCGCCTCCGCCGCCTCCAACACATCAAATGTTCAGTAAGCACGCCCGCCCAACCTTCCTCTCTCTCTCTCTCTCTGTACTGCGAAATACACATGCCTTATTTCCACACACACAGACACAGACACACACACACACACACACACACCACCCGCATAAGCATAGTACAACCCAACCCCACCCCGTGCTAGATCATGCATATCTATACCCCTTTTTCCACATCTTTCCCCAGGCGTTGGGAAGACGGAGCTGGCCAAGGCTCTGGCCGCCTACCTCTTCAACACGGAAGAGGCCATGGTGCGACTGGACATGTCGGAGTACATGGAAAAACACGCCGTGTCGAGGTTGATTGGGGCACCCCCCGGTGGGTGAGGTGGGGGGTCAGGGGGGACGGGGGGGGAGCACACGCACATGACTGGCGACATGGAAATGCCCAGGGGGGGGGAAGACCCTGGGGTTGGTAGTGTTGGCTGGGTACGGGTGTCTGACGTGGTGGTGTGCGTGTAATGTGCGTGGTGTGGTGTGGTGTGCAAGAGGTGGAGGCGGGTGGCTGATGGCGGGTGTGTTTTTGAGGTGCGCAGTGGCATGTGAAGAAGTCCAGATGAGGAGATGGTGGGGATGGGATGGGATGGGCGCGCTGGACGGTGGGGAACAGTGTTGACGTTGTGTGTTGGGGGGGTTGTGTTTGGGAGGGGGGGTAACGCCGTGGTGAGACGTGGTGTGGTGTGTATTGGGGTGTCGGGAAAGCGGGACGTCGTGTCGTACATACACATACACAGATTTGTCTCATCGCATAGGGGTTATATATTGTACGAAAAGCAAGTCCAGCCACGATGGTGGTGGGCGGGTGAAAAGCTGTACGGCAGCCGGGGCATGGATAGGGATGAGGTTGGGCTTAAGAGCCACGGGTTGATAACATGAATAGATAAGAAGAGAGAGAGGACGGGGGGCCACGTTTGTGTTTGTCGTACTTGACAACCACCGAGAACCTCCAAACCCAACTTCCAACTCCCAACTCCCAACCTCGTGCATTATTGCCGCCCAGGTTATGTTGGCTACGAAGAGGGCGGCATGCTGACGGACAGTGTACGGCGCCGGCCGTACAGTGTCGTGCTGTTTGACGAGATTGAGAAGGTATATTATGCGTATATGCGCGTGTGTCCTATCGAACCAACCGCGTATCAACTCCCCTTCCTTCCACCTTCATTGGATTGGTAACAGAATCCGCAATGTGTTTTTTTAGTGCCCGAACGCCCAACCGCACCATCACCAGCTGGTACGTTGACGTTTACCGCCACCATCGCCACCATCTGTTAAACTAACGGCAAGGGGCTAATATCTTGTCGTACAACATGATGTACGGCAATCGGCTAACCCATTGCCGTACGCCGAGATTCAACGCGCCCCGGACCCCCCCCCCGGGGTCCTATTACTGGTGTCACCATTCACTGGTATTGTATATATGGTGTGTATGTGAGAGTGTCGGTCACTTTCCAACCCATCCCCCCGCAACCCGCATTCCCCCCGGGCCCCCCCCCCCACACCAGGCCCACGTGGATGTGTTCAACGTGCTGCTCCAGATTTTGGACGATGGCCGCATCACGGACGCTCAGGTAAAACAGGGGTGGGGAGGTTCGGGCATGAGGAACTCAGTTTACCATGTGTGTGCGTGTGCGTGTATGTATGTGTGTGATGGAAATCGGCACGCGCGTGTGTGTATGTATGTATGTGTGTATGTGTGAGAGCTGCATGTATGTTGTCAGTGAGAGTGGTCAGATACGGCTAGAGTTTGATCTGTGCACACTGCTGCCACTTGCCGTACTGTACCGTGCCGTACAGGGTCGTACGGTGTCGTTCAAGAATACCGTCATCATCATGACCTCCAACTTGGGGTCTGCGGAGATCTTTGCCCGCGTGGCCCTTCGTGGGGACTCGAAGCCTCAGGAGCAGGGTGGCGCAGGCGATGATGGTGATCGTGATGGTGATGGTGATGCTGATGGCGCTAATGCAGCTGCGGACGGCAGCAGTGGTGGCGCTAGTCGCATAGCTGATCGGGCGGCGCTGAAGGAGAAGGTTATGGAACATGTGCGGAGCCATTTCCGGCCCGGTAGGTGGATGGGTGGGTGGGTGGATGGGTGGGTGGGTGGGTGGGTAGGTGCCCCCGTGTGGCTGTTCATTTCCATGGTCTTTAGGCTTTGGTCTTTAGGTTACATGTCTTTGGATTAGGGTTCCTTTTGGACTGTTTGTATGTAAATCTGTCGCCTCGGTGTGTATCCAGCATCGCATTGCAGTTTTAAGCCATTTTGTGAAAAGAAATGTTTCATGGTTGCGCCTCTAATCGCCACCCTCCCCCCCTTTCCTCTCCCTTTCTCTTCTCTCTTTATTTCTTTCTCCCTCCCGTCTCAATCCTGGAGGAATGTTTTGACACTTGCTGTGTGCGCGCTCCTCCTTTGGAATCGCCTGGCAGCGGCTTTCTGTCCTCTCGGCATTTACATCCCCTCCGCCGCCATCCCACACCCTTCCCCCTCTTCTCCTCATTCTCCTCCTCATGTTCCTCATTCTCCTCCGCAACACGTCTTCTCCCCTCCCCCATGGCCCCCTCCCCCCTTCCTTTCTCCGCTGTTGCAACACGCTCCTGAAGAGTTCATCAACCGTGTGGATGAGTTCATCACCTTCGACCCCCTACAGCCCGACCAGATCAAGCAGATCGTGGCGCTGCGGGCGCAGAAGCTCGTGTCGCGGTTGGCGGAGCGCCGCATGAGGCTGCAGCTGACGGTAAGGAACTGGAGAGGGTTGCGGAGGATGGAGGAGGGCGGAGGAAAGGAGGGCTTTGGGCAGACAGGCTGGGGGAAGGGAGCAGCTGTAGGAGGGACAAGACCTTGCGGGGGGAGAGGAAAAAAGGGGGAAAAAGAAGAAAGGGAAAAAAAGGAAAAATGGAAAAAAGAAAAAAAGAAAAAAGGGGAAATAGGGGAAATAGGGGAAAGGTGACAAACCCCAGATAACTTCATAAAATGGAATATGGATCTTGCTTTACACACACGCCATCAAGTAATCTTTATGTACGTTCTTCACTTTCTTTATTTTATTTTGGGTTTTGAATTTTGAATTTTAAATTTTGCTGTAGTCAAAAGCACAAATTCTTGTGCATGTGCATGTGCATGTGCATATACATTTATAGTAAATATATAATGGTACGACGACCACCCGGTCTTGCCCCCCATTTGGTTCATCTAAAGGATCCCGCCGTGGAGTATCTGGCGTCCAGAGGGTACGACCCCGCGTACGGCGCTCGTCCAGTCAAGCGTGCTCTGCAGCGTGAGCTTCAGACGCTGCTGGCCCAGGCTCTCCTGCGCAACGAGTTCACGGAGGGCGACACGATTACCGTATCTGTACGGCCCGACGGCGCCGGCCTGGCGCTGTCGCGAAGTACGAAAGCCGACGGCGATGTGGCGGCGAGGGAGCCGGGGGCTGGCGGGGACAGCGGCGCGGCGGCGGCGTCAGAGCAGCCGGCGGAGGGCGGCGAGGGGCAGGCGGTGAAGACCAGGAAGGCTGAAGAGGAGGAGGAGGAGGAGGAGGAAGATCTGGAAACTGAGCCCAACGGTAATTTGCCAACCGCCAACGGTGCTTCCAACGGTCATCTCAACGGCACGGTCCACTGAACGTCTGTTGCACTTTTTAACTGCCGAGTCAGCTGTTTCCTGGGGGGGGGGTCTGGAGGAAGAGGGAATCTGTGCATGGTGGTGGAAGAGGGGGGAAAGGTTTTTGAGGATGCTCATGAGGTTTAGGCGCGCCAGAGAAGTGAGATGGTGCTGGGCTGGGGAGTGACTTTGCAAGGAAAGGCTTTGCAAGGAAAGGCTTTGCAAGGAAAGGCTTTGCAAGGAAAGGCTTTGCAAGGAAAGGCTTTGCAAGGAAAGGCTTTGCAAGGCGTCAATTCTCTGTCCCAACGCGAGATAAATAGATGCGTGGAGTGGAAGGGGTTGCCCGATAGGTAACCTCTGAAAAGCGACTGGAGAGCTTTGCGTGTGGCGATCTGAGCGGCAGACCCGCCTTAGCCCGGGATGATGATGAGGCGGACTTCCGTGAGTACGACCACCGTTACCGTTCAACTGCTTTTGGTCTTTTGGTTTGGCGAGTTTGGGTGAGAGGGGGGGAGTAAGAGGGGCAGGACTGCCGGGCCGTAAAATTTTACTGCAGATCCGGAAGGATCGAACCCGACGGCTGTTGGCGGGAATATGCGCTGAAGAGGTGTCCGGAAAGAGATGGGTCCCTCAATAATTGCTTCGGTGAAATTGCTGGTGGTTCGTTTGGCTTTTTTAGAATAATAAGGTATGTGAGGTGACGCACGGATGGTTGGAGTGTGGGGTCTGCATTCGCATTTACGGGCACATTCGCACATTCTGTCGTCATGTCCGTGTGTTGCCTGTACGTATGTCAGTTTCATGCGTCTGATGTCGTCGACCTGTATGTACGTCATGTATGTGTCGTTTGTGTCTCATCCGTAGGTCGCAGGCAGGCATCGCCAAGGAAGAGAGTGTCGGATTTCCGGGAGCGCAGCAGAAGCGTGTTGTTTACCATGAAGATAAACAACGCTGTTTGCTGCGTTGCGTTGATTGTGCTCATAAAAGAAGAACCCGCGTGCCCTCGTGTATCAAGGCCAAACTGTGTAATGGTTTTAGCGGTGTGCTTGTTTTAGGGCTCTGTATGTGTGTGTGTGTGAACCTGAGTGGCAAAATGGCGGTTCCCAAAACAAGTTTGCACAAATCATGCGCGTGCTTGCGGTGGCCAACACACCAAAACGCTGTCCGTCGAGCAGCTTTTGGACACACGGCCCCTCCCCCCCCCACACACACACCTGTGCCTGTGGATGGTAAAATGTGGCTTGGTAAAACCTCATCCCCTGTGGAATCTTTCCTAGGCGGCGTTAAATCCTTTTCCATTCACCAGCCACCCGAGGAGGGAACATTCTCTGTTCCTCTTTGTATCCTCTCTCTCTCTTTTCCTTCGCTTGCTTTTGTGTGCTTCTCCGCATGTATTTCACAGAGCCGGCAGTAACATCGGCTCCATATCATATACCCCCAGCTGCGTGTTTTCATGCACCTGGCTTTCCCTCACCCCTTAACATTAACGGAAGGAAATCTGTCCTGGTGGACACAACGGTGGCTAACCTAGGGAACCACAGTTTCTCACGAGTGCGAGGAATGAGAGAAGTGACCTGGACTCCGCTACCTTGCCTTCCGTTTTGGCTGTGCGTTTTCACCCTTCCGCGCCCCTCTTCCCCCTCCACGAATAAGCCTCTGGCCAGGGGCCCGGGCTCCGCCCCGGGGCCCGGGTTCATTACCCTCGTAACCACAATTACACCACCTGCTGGGTTGGAGTAGTTCCTCTACTGAGAGGAAGAGTTCCTCCTTCGAGCACCTCGAAGGGGCCGGTGTATTGGGTATCAGCATCCGAGGGTATCATGCCGGTATCAGCATCCGAGGGCACCACAACATCTCGCCATCACAACCGCACTTTCTACCAGCGCTCATCCAGCAATTGCCGGCGCCGTTCCGCTCCTCCACAAGGAAACACGGTCAGCGTGATCATGGTATGAATATCCCGATGGTCAATCAGAGCTCCCCTTGGGCGAGACAACTTCGTCACTGATGATGTGCACCAAGCAGGGCATTCACCAAGGCTATCAAGCTCGTCTCACCCAATTACCTTATTACTGGAGCCCTCCACTACAATTAACTGCACTCCTAAAACTACAAGTCTCTAAAGCTACAACTCTCTAAGACTACAACTTGCTAAAACTACAACTCGCGCATTATCCTTTTCCTCCTCGTTTAGAGCCCATTTCTTCTCCGTTTATATAATAATTACCCTTCCTCCTTAAGCGCAGGTTTACCACACGCATTGTTCTCCACACGGCACACTCAACACGGCTTGCTTTCGCTCCTCGATTAGGGCGTCTGGTGCTTTCAGAACTGCGCCGGCTTTCGTTTCCTACTACGTCTCTCTCAACCTCCCGGCGCCTCTCAACCAAGCTGTCCCTGCCGCATCTGCCTGTCAATCTCTTCTGCATCCAACTGGCCTGGCAGTCGCCGTACACCTCGGTTGAAAATCGAATATGCGGACAGCTCCCCGGCGCGCCGAGTTCCGAGGTTGGTGAAGATGCCACCAATAAGGCAGCCCAGAACGAACAACGGCCCTAGACCTAGCCGCGATGATATGACGCAACCTAGTAGGAAACCGCAAAACAACGCAAGACGCCATGGCCGTAAAAGGACGACCCACTCCAGGATCCAATCGGGGCAGCGCGCGCGGTTTCGTAGCGCCTCAACTACGGCCACCTCCCAGCGTGGGGTGCCTTGCGGCAGGGCAATCCGGTCTTCCTCGTCGTCGCCGTCATCGTGACGGACGCGAGACGAAGCTGAACCACGGGTCACTGCAGCGACGATTTCGGGTGAGGGCGCTTTGCGCTGCGGCGCGACAAGTAGATGATCTGTACATCGTAGGAGGAGTGGGGATTGAACAAGATGTGGAGCGGGCAGCGAGGGGGATTTGGAGGGACAGAAACTCCCGGTGAGTGAGTGCGCAAGACGAGCTGCTTGGTACAGGCGCCTGATGGCGATGCTGAGCGGGGGAAGCGGGAAGGATGAAAGATTGATAGTGAGGGCGCGCGAGGAGCGGCTGGACGAACATCGCTGCGTGCCAACGGTAGAGGGCCTGGATCCGGGCATGACCTCCACTAAGGCAGCGAACGATGAGAGGGCAACCACCCCTCGGCAGAAAGCTGCTGATGGCGGCTGATGGAGTTCTGGAGTGTCTATGGGGGGAACTGCAGATCGCCGTGGGCTATTCGGCGAGGATTTGTAAAGGGGCGCAGGGAATGCGCCCTACACAAATGTGTGACCTACCGCCATCCCGTAAGGTCACGACGTGGTTCGGCTTATTGACTGGCAACGCTGCTCCTCGTAGTACTACTTTGACGCCCCCAGCTGTTAAAGTGCCAAACGCCTGCTCCGCGCAGTGCACAATCGCTTCGACCTACACGGCTCCAAAGGGCAAGAAACCGTGAATTCAGCAAAGCGGTGAAGTGAGACAGTACAAACGCTTTAGCTTTTAGTTAACTCACGGTGCAGATGGAAGGAAGCTCCGTGACCTGCCTGGGACCAGCTATGAACTGCAATGTAACGGACACAGTCCCGCCAACTCCCATCAAGATTCCGTATATTTATTGGCTTTCTTTTACAATAATGCAGCCTTCGTAAGCTGTTGTTTGGGGACATAAATTATGTCTGGTTGCAAAACAAATTGCGGGTGCGAGGCGAAGTGGATTCCTGCGTATAGCTGACTTCGCTGCGACGGAGCAAAGCGATCGGAGCCTCTAAGTGTGGTTCTGTGCAACTGTCGTACAACCGCTATCGAGTGGCGAGCAGAGTGCGCTTCCGCTCTCTCGTTTCAGGCATTCTGCTTTTCACTCAGTAGAGCTCCAGCTTTTGTAGCTGCTAGCTCCCCACCCGGAAACCCCTTAACTTTCTCCGTCGGCTCGGCCAGCGGCGGGTCGCCCGTGGGAGCTGGCTGAAGTCTGGATCCAGTGGCGCCCCAAGCATGGCGTGACACTGGAAGTGTATGCGTTACCGCCTGCTCGATGCCATCAAACACTTACAGCGCCACACAAATGACCTCCCGTACCGTGGTGGCGGTGGTGGTGGTAAAGGCAGTTGCAGGTGCCGCCAGGTCGCCTTTGTCAGCCTCACCATCAGTGCAGCCGTATGGGGCAAGCTCATGGGGATCTATCCTGGCTTTTCGTGTGCAAGGTGTTCATGTACACGCCAGTGCAGTGCGTTGTGTTGCTTGGTGTTGTTGCTGTTGTTACAGGGTGGTACAGCTTGTTGTGCACAGTTTCCTCCTCCCATGGGAGGAAGACATGGCCATGTCTTCAACTTCCGAGTGATTTTGCGGAGGTATGTAGCATGTGCTCCTTGCGTCACTTAAAGGCAAATACTGGTAGAGCATCATAGGCATGCATGGTTCTTTGGTCAATGCCACGGATTGCAGATGCTGGTAGTTTGGTTTCGCGGCTCTGGCAAAAGTCCCGCGGCAGTGCAGAGCCATGCCTATACAAATGTCCGTACATCAGTACGACAAAGCTGCGCCACCTCCACCTTGGCCCACTCCCTCTCCAACCGTATCGGTGGTTTCTCACTTAGCTTCAGTTTAACCCTACATGGATGTCGCTTTATTTCCCTAAAGTACGACGATTTCGCCCGACAGCCGTAGTAAGGAAGTTCACTTTAGTGCACGCTTTTGCTTACGTATGGTGGTATGTCTGCTGGTATGATGGATTCGTGGGTTAGAGCGAGATTGTATGTGGCCGCCATCGCCGCAGCCGAGTGACTGAGGAGTAGGTGTCCGTGTTTCGGTATTCAAACCGGCCGCAGCATCAGCGGTAACCTTTATTTACGTTCGTAAAGGTGGGTGGCACCGCGCTCTGCGCTTCGTGCATGCATAGAACCCAAAAACACGAACAGGATCAGGGCTAATATTTTACACCCCTACACTGACTATAGCGCAGCAGCAGACCTCCTCGTAAATGAGGGTTCTACCTCCTTCTTCCACAAGGCTTACGACCGAAGAGCTGCGTACACCAACGATTCCCAGGCGCCTGTTGCCATCGTCTCAATGTCCAACAGAACTCCCCTTCACGAGGTTTTAGCCTTGAAGCCAGGTCATAAGGTAGTGCACACGAACATGTACGAACAAGTCCGCCATAGATAAGATGTTCGGCATGTCGTACACTCGCCCGCCACGAAGCCGTTGCTAACACCCTCTCAACCCAACACACCCAGCCCGCCCACCTTTACTCCTGCCAAATTTGGAAGACGGTATTTTCTCAAGGTATGTGTACATCAGTTTCGGTATGTCCAACGGCCCAAGTCTACTCTTCACCCTGCACACAAATGCTCATCCTCCATATTTTACACTGCGGCCTGCCTTCTGCCACATCCTTTCACTTTAAGTAACGACTTCGCCATCAGGGCACTCCTCCTCGCTGCACCCAATGGCCAGTGAACCCCCCTGCGGAGGCGGCATGACCGAAAACCGCCTAGCGGAAGAACATGTTGATTGCAGCAAGCAAATTTCCTCTGTCCATTCCTAATAACACAAACATACATGAGGTCTTTAGGAGTCACCAATATATGCACATTGGGCAGCACTCGCCCGGTAATTTAAATACCGCCCGTACGACTTCTGTACGACTCAAGACTGAAAAGATTCTTGTCTTGGAGGGTGCCGTACCTCCTGCATGAGAACATGCATTCCAAGCTCGTTTCTCTTCCCACGGCACTTGGGGGGTAGCATCACACCTTTGTGGTCGGATCGCTGCAAATCCGAGTACTGTAACAACTGTTGACCGCGTCAATAGCATGCCTTCATCATAGTTGTAGTGACTCGAAGTTATTTAATTTTTTCCTGAGGTTCATGTTGACCTTAACCTAACAAGCTGGTACATAAGGTGCCAAACGTTTATGCGGCCATGCCGACAATGCGGTGCCATAATCCCCCCCCCCCACACACAACACGGGTGCGGGTTGGGGTGGTGAGTGATGGCCGGCTTCTATGGTCACAATGGACCATTTTGTGTCATACGAGATTTTACATTTTTCACCACGACCTTCTATACTGTAAGAGAAGGATGCGATGTAATTTCCTGCGCGGGAAGAAGTGGCTTGTGATACGTGTGGGACGGAGTGGGCATAATTTGTGAAGAAGAGGGTCTCTGTCCGGCAGTTACGACAGTCTCCCTCCCACTGTTCCTCCTTCTTACCTGACGACATAGCACAAAGCCCTACCTTCCGCAGATTACAATATAAAAAGGACGAAGGCTTAACTCATAGCCGTGAGATTGAAATCTCTATTGAAGTCACGGTCAGGGTCGTTAAGCCCAAAACCGAACGGACCTCTGACTTCCAGTGATTGTAGCAGTTACCCAGCACACAGGTCTCCAACAGAATACCAAATACGAAGCCTTTTGTCGAACCCAGGGACGTGCAATGCATAATCAAGACGCGCATCTTCAAGCCATCACTGCTGATGCCGCCAATTCGTACGACGGGGCTGCAGCAACAGCCACAGCCGTAGCAGCAGCAGCAGCAGGGCTGGCCGCCGCAGCCGGTCGCGTCACGCGCGGGATGGCCCCGTGTGCCGGAGGAGCCAGGGCCGTCTTCGTCGAACCAGGTGCAGCGGAGGCCCCGTACTTCTGCGCCACGTACTTCTGCGCCACGAACCTGCAGCAGCGGCAACGTGCAAGGTGCCGCGGATGGGGGTTGTGTCAAGGGCCTGTCGACCAAAAAGCAGCAACGACTCGACGACAGTTGACTCCACGAGAGCTGAGTTGGATAGTGGAGATAGGGAAGGAGGGGCGTGAAGCAGGTCCCCAGTGTAAGAGGGGTGATGATGGTGCAGTACACATTGGTTGACAGCGTCATCACCTCGGCAGGCGCGCACACGTACACGTACACGTACACGTACACACACACACACACGCACATACATGCATACATACGGACCAGACGGTCACGCCGTCAAGCGGTCACATCGACCCGCCTAGCCGCAGCACGCACCTGAAGAAGTCCCGCCACAGCAGTTCAAAAAGGAGCCAGTTAGCCGGATGTGGTGATGATGATGATGATGATGATGATGATGATGATGATGATGATGATGATGATGGTGATGGTGATGATGATGGTGGTGGTGGTGGTGGTGGGGCCGCGAGCGGCTCCTGACCTCCGCCCAGCTGCTGCCTCATCTCCAAGAACA